AAAATGTGTAAAAGTGCATAATTACTGAGACTCCACATCCCATGTGGGATAATTAGCTTGCCAACTAAACTGTACCAACAGGAGCAGTCCCCAATAAAACTTTCACAAGTTCTGGTACTTAGGGCACCGTTTCAGAAAAGTTCTGTGTTTTTCATCTTTGAATAGAATTCCTCAGAGGATCTTGGGACTTTATAGCAGTGGTTATGGTGCTGCTAGGACATAATGGATGCCACCACTTTGTTTTCTGTAAAACAATTTTCAAGAGGTTTGACAAAATATGGAGGAGCCAAATTCTTCTCCCTTAATTTGTGGAATCATAATGATGAAATCTTACTTCACATTTCTGTCCTGCTTGATGTGTCTTTCATGGAATAATTTATTAACTATCAAGTTATTTCACTGTATCCCACCATTGTTTTCTCAGTATTCCTGTCTGTGATATTAAGGATGCAGGCAGTGTGTGTGAGTAAAGGTGCTGTGAGTATCAGGGGTGCAGTGTATGTGTGTGTGCGTGAGGGTGATGTGTGTGTGTGTGTGAGGGGTATAGTGTGTGTGTGAGGGTGTAGTGTGTGTTCAAGAGGGGTGCAGTGAGTGTGTGAGGGTGATTAGTGTGTGTGCAAGAGGGGTGCAGTGAGTGTGTGAGGGTGCTGTGTATGTGAGGGTGCTGTGTGCGTGTGAGAAAGCTGTGTGTGCAAGGGTGCAGTGTGTGTGTGTGTGCTGTGAGTGCCAGGGGTGCAGTGTGTGTGTGAGAGAGATGGTGCTGTGTGTCAGGGGTGCAGTGTGTGTGAGTGAGGGTGCTTTGAGTGTGTGTGTGTGTGTGTGTGAGGGTGCTGTGTGTGTGAGTGAAGGTGCTGTGAGTGTCAGGGGTGCAGTGTGTGTGTGAGTGAGTGAATGTGCTGGTGTGTGAATATGTTTGGAGGGCTTGTACATTGGGGGAGCAGATTTTTATCAATATATATTAATTTAAAAAAAAAATACATAACTCAGGACAACACACGCTGACCCCCGACCCTCACCATCATCCCCCACACCAAACTAAACTGACGAGAAAAGACCAAAGCCGCAAATTACCCAAAACTCCATACCCACAACTAAGAGGTACAGGACATACAGACCACAAGGCAGGACCAAGCCACAGAAATACCTCAAATATAAGCAACAGACCGCTACGAGAGGGCACCCCTTCCCCTATCTCTTTAACTTCTGTACCCCACCCCAAACCCTAGAAGAAACAGGATTGCAAACTGTCACGAGAGCGAAAGAGAACACTGGACATGTAAATAAGCTTAAGATGTTACTGTACAACCTCCACTTGCAAGTGGACAGCCAATACATTGTGTACAATATCTGAATGAGATGCATGCATGTACCACGAACAATATCCCCCTACTTTCTTTCTGTACCCTCACCCCGAAAACATACACTATCTAAAATTCAAAATAAAGAATTTATAAAAAAAAAAAAATACATAATTAAACAAGCATTGATTGTATCCCTCCTCCTTTCTTACCTTTAGCCTGGGATGGGGGGCCATGCTGCTGCCATCCCTGGTGGTGCTAGTGGTGAGTGAACTCTAGCCTATGGGGCAAGAGTTCACTCTGGCGAGACCCGGAGCGTTGATCTCCCTACCGGCCCGTCATGGAAAACAACGGGGCCTGCGTTTGGATAGTGCTGGCCCTGCATGAAACAGCCAGGGAGATCCTGTGATCTGCTCTGCCAGCCTCGGCCCATGGACATCGCGGCCCCCCGGGCATTTGCCCGGTGTGCCCAAAGACAGTCCGGACCTGCCTGTTTAACACCACACAATCAAAATGCCTACCCAGCTCAGAACACCTGTCTATCTCCAAAACACAACCAACTCTAATACCTATATCTCCAGTCCCACATTTCCACCAGCTCTAATTGTCACCTGCCTAGCCCTAAACCACCCTCACTTATACTTCCCTGTCTAGTCCCAGCACCCACTCCATTTCTGCTGTCTTATATCCATGTTACTAACCACACTAATACCACCTTTACAGCACCATACCACTATCCAAAGTTATCCCTACCTACCCAGTTCTGCCTACCTTACTTATATCCATCTCTCCAAACGTATACAAATATTCAGGCTGCACCTCTATGTGCTCACGTTTCATCTTCATTCAGACATCTGTTCATCCCTTACATCTCTATCCACTATGCTGCTCAACACATCCTACTTGTACACTAACCTGTCACCGCTGCAATCCCCTTGCTGATATAAACACATACTCCTAACAAACCCTTAATGAACAGACAGTGGGGAGAAGATACAAATAGAAGAACTAATACTCCCACACATGTAGCTAGCAATACCCCTGATCTTATTTTTTCAGATGCATGCAGTCTCTAATCTCAGTGACACTCCATTTCCTTTCTCAGATCATCACCTCGTTTCTTTTGTTCTTGATGCCCCTCACCCAATATCCTCAACCTTACCCTTCTCAACTCAGGAGAAATCTGAATACTCTTGACCTTCAGCAAATGCCAGCTGATGTCTGTCCCCAACTCTCATCCATCATTATCTTCTCCTGTCCCTCTCTGTCTCCTTGTACAACACTACCCTCTACTTGTACAACGTTACACTCACTTCTATCCTTGATACTGTTGCCCCCTTCAAACATACACCTCAAGGACACATACACCTCAAATATGGGACACTAATTCAACCAGCTACCTACAGAGATGCTCTCATTCAGCTGAATGCTGCTGGAGGAAGTCTCGCAACTTGTCAGATTTTCTTGGTCCCCTATTGTTTTCTCTTCATACTGCCTCATTTGGCAAACGTATTAACTCCTTTAGATTCTGCTACCACCTGGATTCCAATGACATCCAGATACATCTCTTCTCCCCTGATCTCTCCTCTGCTGTCCTAGAATGAATTACCGTTTGCCTATCTTCCATCTCTGATTGGATGTCATTCCATTTCTAAAACAAAATCTCTTCTTATACTTCCTGCTCATAATACTAATCCTCCTCTTTCACTTTCCCTGTAAGTTGATGGTACTTGCAACAGTCCTTCCTTGCCAGCTCGCTGTCTTGGTTTTGTCTTTGATTCTGGCCTCATCTTGAAAGCTTACATCCAGTCTGTTGCTAAACCATGCCAATTCCAAATCCTGCCAATACAAATATTGCCCACATCCGCCCATTCTTTATGCATGATTTTACTACAAAACTTGCTCATGTCCTTGTAATTTCGCGCATTGATTACTGTAATGCTCTCCTAATTGGTCTTCCCAGAAAACGTACTGTCTTACTGCGGTCTGTAATGAATACTACGGCCAGGTTGATTTTTCTCTCCTGTTGCTCCTTTCACAACTCGCCCCTTTGTCAAACCTTACATTGGTTTCCTGTATCCTATAGGTGTCAATTCAAAATATTAACCCTTACCTATAAAGCTCTAAACAACTCTAACATTACTTCACTAATTGGTCTCTTCTCGATCTCTCCACTCTCCCGGTGACCTTCTCCTGTCCGCTGCTCACACCCTTACTGCTAACTTGTGCTTTCAGAACTTCTCATGGACGGCTCCTCTCCTTTAGAACAGCCTGCCTACTTCAATCAGACTCTCCCACAGACTTCAATCTTTTAAGAATGCTTTCAAAACCCATGTCTTCAGAATAGTTTATGGCCACCCATAGTATCTTGTACTTTACAAACCTATTTTTACTCTTTCCTGAATAGCCACACTTCACTATCATCGTTCAGTTTTGCAACTATCCACCGTGTCACTTGATTGCTATTGCCCGTGCTGGCCTTCCCATTATGTTTTTGTACATTACCTCCTCTAGATTGTAAGCGCCTTCGAGCAGGGTTACATCAATCTATTGTTTCTGGAATATTTTGTAATTTTCTCATTTATCGTTAAAGTTCCCCCTTTATAATATTGTAACATGGTGCAGTATAAGTTGGCGCTATATTAATGCTATAATAATAAGGGAGTGCAGAAATCAAGATAGGGGAGACAATGGGAAAAAATATGTGTATGGAGGATCTTTGTAGGGGATGTCCTTACTTGCTTTGCAGAGTGCAAAAGTTGCAACGACTGGCCTTGTTTGCCTTGGCCCAGGAGGAATTAATCAAACAATTAGTACCATTACTGTTCATAAAGGTAATCTTTATTTTAAATGAATTTTCCATTGCTCACTCGCTTCTATGTTTCTTCTTATGAAGGCTTGATTAATAAGAAGTTTAAAGGTTTATACTGTAAACTTACAACTTTAGTAAATAATATTTACAAAACTGAGGCTTAAATAGTCATATTTAATCCTCTAAAATTCAGAGTTTATTGAATAACCCTCCTGTATTCCGTAAATAAGAATAACATATGAACCAGAGGCATCAAAAGAGGGTGTGAACTCCAACGGTCATCAGATTGTGTTATTGAACGCCAATTAATCCAACACAGCTCCAATGCTGTATATGTAAAATGATACATTTACAAAGATAAATGACTTTAGACTCTCCCTGTTGTGTTTATTCTATCTTTCCTATCTCATCTCTGACAATGTATGCCTGGAAGGTACAAATTCTGTTATCAACACTTCTCTGAAACTCAGTGTTAGCCACGTTTTCATGTTCAACCATTATATTGTGTGTTATTTTGTGGAGGTTTTTTTGTTTTTGCATTTTGAGTCTAAACATAAGGAAATTAAAAAAAGAAAAATGATAAGAACAAGTTGTAATTTTTGTAGAGTCTATTGGCTCTTTGTGTACCTGACACAGGTTATTGCATTGCCACTCCCCCCAGCAACAAACTAAGTGAATTATTTTGCTGCAGGCTACAAATTCTCTCCCTGTTTGTTGGGAGTTGACGAAGGAATGAATCATTCACAGAAATGTATGGAGCTTTGTGGTGTTCAGCCACAGCATGTTGCTCTCGTCTTTGATGCAGACCGGTTGGACCTGTTCCTGGCTGACTGAGGAACCGGTTTGACAGGCCTTTTATGCCAACAAATTCTGGTATCATTCCATGTTACACAGAATGTAGAAACCTGCCCAGCCAGTTGAATGAAAGGCATATTAGGATATCCATTGCACATTGTATATATCTGAGGTGTTGCTTAACGTGCATTCAGTTCAGGAGCAGTTTCCCTAGGATGGTCAAATGTGTCTGCTGACATTTTAGGAAGAAGACATCTATAAACATTCCTCACCCCAGGCACTCAGTTAGCTGATATTTAATCTGATTGGTAAGTCTATTCATTAGATGCCCCAGATTTCGATTTGCATGTATTCATTACTTATACATGTTTGATGGAACCATTGTTAAAATACTGTTTACTATTATTATTATTATAATGCTCTTTACTAAAAGATATATGTGAGGTAATTATCCTATAATGTCATTACCTAAATATAAGTAAATGTAAAAAACAAGAAGTAAGTAAGAAATACTAGATGGACTTTTAATTAATTCTGTTTAATCATAAATTGGAAAATCACAAATAGGTTGTCAAAGTACTAAGATTATTATATTGCTATATAAATATATAAATGTATACAAAATGTAATGCAGGATATATAAATGGATAGATAGCTCTTTTGAGCAGTGTCCTCATCAATATATTGATCCTGTAACATTTTGTAATTGTCTCATTTATTGTTAAATGTCCCCCTTTATTATACTGTAAAGCACTGCGGAATAAGTTGACGCTATTTGAATACCAATAATAAGCTAGATAGGGTTTTGCACAACTGTACATTTTTAAAAGTTGTAGGTAAACTACTCAGTGCTTTTTGTTACGAGAAATAAGGTGACATAGCCAGTTCATTTAAGAATTCTTAATAGAAACAGTTCACAGTCAAGTAATTGATTAACCTCGAGATTTCAGCATTATGTACACGGGCCTAATAGAAAGGAATGAGGACAGGTTATATCTTGCATGTGTCCTGGAACATTCCTCTGTTAGGTCAATTGGAATCTGCATATCATGTTTTCAAAGTATATATAAACAACACTCTGCTATTCCTTTATTGCATTCTCTAGCACGCCACTGACTCCAGAATTACACTAGAACACATTTATGCTAGTATGCATAGTAGTTTAAGGGAAATTTTAAAAACTGCAATCCATAGAGGCACACGGAACATTTTAATATGCAATCTATTTTTGAAGTGACACCACAGCACAAAAATTTCATCTAATAGACCAGCATTCAAAAATAATCTTGGTATGTCTTGCATGATAACCCATGCATGGTCTACAATTTCTCTAGAACACACATAGTTACACTGACTTTCGTAAGAGACAGACCCTAAGAACCACTGTAAAACTGTAAACACCAGGGTCATACTGAATATTCAAGTAGGTAGACTATTAGTTTAAAGTGGCCCTCCAGGCACAAACTGTGAATATGATAGATCATCGTTCAAAATCATCCTGATATTTTTTACATGATGTCTGATGCATGTTGTTTCACAAATTGTCAAACTATTTACTGTCCAGTTCCAAACCCTTGCTGTAAGAGAATGTATTGAGACAGATATATTAAGTAATGTACAGTACAACGTTTCTCGTGAACCTCTGTGCAGCAGTCTCTCATTCGAGAGACCGAAGTGTATCAGGTGTTCGTGGGAAACTTTGAAAAGGGTCTACAGGTACAAACAGAAATGTAAAATCCGTTGCAAATCCTGAATGAGAATCACTACTATATGTGAATGGAACAGCTGAAATAATTGTAGATTATGCTAGCTTTGGTGTATGAAAATTATACTTTCAGTAATGACAGAAGGCAAATATTTTGCTGCATCCTGTTACGGATAGACATGTCTGTAGTTTATTAAAATTTTGTTCAGGCATTATAATTCCACAAAGAACATTATGTAAATTCAAAGAGATGTGCTTTTATTAAATTATTTGTATTTGGGTAATAACTGGAGATATTATGTACAAGAAGGAATTTATCAAGGCAAAAACAAGTGCTATTCTGAGGTAAAATGCTAAGTAAGGACCAATCAACTTGGAAACCAAAATAATGTTTCAACATTTAGCACTTTGCACCCACAATAGCCTTGATAAATCCCATCCACACCCTTAGATTTATTAAAGGCTGACAAACATTTTTAGCACGAGGTAAAAAAAATGAGGTCAAAATGGCATTTACTAGTGTTCGTATCTGGCATCCAAAACTGTGCTAGTCAGTTGAAAAATTCCCATAGAGAAACAGAAATAGGGACAGGGAGTGGTATTTATTAACAACTTAGATACATACGGCAGAAATCTTACAAAGTAAGCTTAGGGCTGGCGTATCTTTATACCTGCCACTACACTATATGTGTGTGTGTGTGTGTGTGTATGTATATGTGTATGTATATGTATTTATATATGTGTGTGGGTGTGTGTATGTATATGAATATATATATATGTGTGTGTGTGTATATATATATATATGTATGTGTATGTATATAGGCAGTGGCGTACATACCAGGGTCGCAGGGGGCCCGGCCGCCCCTGCGACCCGGTATGTACGCCACTGGGCCAGCCTCTTCTCCTGGGGGGCCCAGGAGCCGACCACCCCAGGCCCCCCGAGGCTGGCCAGGCTGGCCCTGCTGACCCCGGCGGGTGGGCGGGCTGTCTGGGTGGCCGGCGCGCGAGGGAGCACTTTACACTCAGTGCTTCCTCTTCAGCTCCCTCGCGCACCGCACTGATACCGGAGTCGGAAGATGACGTCATCTTCCGGCGCCGGCATCCCTACGCGGCGCGCGAGGGAGCTGAAGAGGAAGCACTGAGTGTAAAGTGCTCCCTCGCGCGCCGGCCACCCAGACAGCCCGCCCACCCAGTGACCAGGAGCCCAGCAGCACCACTGGACCCCAGGGAATCCCCCCAGCACTCCAAAAGGTAAGGAGGCTGGGGGGATTACATTTAAAAAAAATTTTTTTGTGTGTTTGTGTTTTAGTGTATGTGTGTGTATGTGTGTTAGTGTATGTGTGTTAGTGTGTGTGTATTTGTGTGTGTTAGTGAGTGAGTGTGTCTGTGTGTGTGTCAGTGAGTGTTTCTGTTGTGTGTGTGTGTCTGCTAGTGAGTGTGTTACTGTGTGTGTTACTGAGTGTGTTTGATGTCTGTTAGTGAGTGTGTGTTTGTCAGTGAAAGTGTATGTTTTGTAAGTGAGTGTGTATGTATGTCTGTCACTGAGTGTGTCTCTGTCAGTAAATGTGTGTCTGTTAGCTAGTGTGTATGCGTCTGTTCGTGAGAGTGTGTGTGTGCCTTCAGCATTTACCTTTCTCCAGCGTCGGACTCCCCAGTGTCCGCCTCTCAGCTCCGAATGCACATGCGCGGCAAGAGGCGCGCGCGCGCATTTAAATCGCCCATAGGAAAGCATTACTCAATGCTTTCCTATGGACATTCAGTGTCTTCTCACTGTGATTTTCACAGTGAGAATCGCGGAAGCTCCTCTAGCAGCTGTCAATGAGACAGCCACCAGAGGCTGGATTAACCCTCAGTGAAACATACCGTTTCTCTGAAACGGCTATGTTTTCAGCTGCAGGGTTAAAACTAAAGGGACCTGGCACCCAGACCACTTCATTGAGCTGATGTAATCTGGGTGTCTGTAGTGGTCCTTTAAGTGTGTGTGCATACCGCGGTCGCAGGGTCGCAGCCCTGCAACCCCTGCGACCAGGGCCCGCCGCCATGTGTCGCGGCCCCGACCCGCGCCGAGTAAGCATGGGGGGGGGGGAGCCCTGGATCAATTTGATCAACTGTGTCCATGGCCACCTGAAGGGTGTCGGCAGCATGGGGGGGATATGGCCTTTTGAAGCCTGTTTCCTATGGAAGAGTAAAGGCCTAGACTTCCTCCAGATTATGCATACCACCTATTATGCCTGACTCACTTGAGATTTAGAGGCCCCTCATGTTGCTGGCATGCCCGGAGTGCAAAATTTCCCCAACTGGGCGAATGTCCTGACCCCAGCATTCACGACTGAGCCTCAGTCGATCCCAAAAAGCAGAGCAGGGAAAATCAAATGCTGTTAGGAATTGTGAGGCTGGGTTGGAACCTCCTGCATCAACATAATTGCTCTCCCAAGCTCAACAGCCCTCTTAAGTAAGTTGAGAGTGTGTGCACACTCAAAAGACTAGGACAAAATCCTTTTCAAGGAAAACAATGATAATTGCCAGGTTAACCAACACCAAATCTACGTTATTTCATCTTGATCTCTGGCGTCTATTCCACCATCATCTGCCCAGTTCCCAGAGATGTCTTAGAAGCATCATTTCTCAGTTGAGTCGTGCTTGCGCATGCATGCTCACACCATTCAAGTTGGCTTTTTCACATAAGCTGTGCAGTGAGATGTATGTACGTAGCACTGATTCAACGCTGATCCATTGCTGCAACATCAGTAAGAAGGGCGTATGGAGTCTTGTGCTTGACCTTTATCCAAGAAGCAATCAAATACAATTTTTTGGGGTTTGGTTTCTAGGGCTAGCAATAAGTGCATACATTTTACCTGATAAAATGAAGCAAAGGGAACACATACATTTTGTTAGAATAAAAACACATTACAAAAAGACACATCCCTTAGTCATGGAAAAGATGTTAGTCTGTTTGAGAAGGGTCAAATCATTGGCATGCATCAAGCAGAGAAAACATCTAAGGAGATTTCAGAAACTACTAAAATTGGGTTAAGAACTGTCCAACGCATTATTAAAAACTGGAACGATAGTAGGGAACCACCAGTGATGGGTGCATTAGGGTAAGAAGAGAGGTAGATAAAGTGATGCACCCATCATGCCTAGTGCCTACTGTACAAGCCTGTGGGGGCAGTGCTATGATCTGGGGTTGCTGCAGTTGGTCAGATCTAGGTTCAGCAACATTATGTGCCCAAAGAATGAGGTCAGCTGACTACCTGAAAATACGGAATGACCATGTTTTTCCATCAATGGATTTTTTCTTCCCTGATGGCATGGGCATATTCTAAGATGACAATGACAGAATTCATCGGGCTCAAATTGTGAAAGAGTGGTTCAGGGAGCATGAGACATCATTTTCACACATGGATTGGCCACCACAGAGTCCAGACCATAACCCCTTTGAGAATCTTTGGGATGTGCTGGAGAAGGCTTTGCGCAGTAGTCCGACTCTCCCATCATCAATACAAGATCTTGGTGAAAAATTAATGCAACACTGGATGGAAATAAATCTTGTGACATTGCAGAAGCGTATTGAAACAAAGCCACAGCGAATGCGTGCCGTAATCAAAGCTAAAGGCGGTCCAACAATATATTGGAGTCTGTGACCTATATTTTTTTTTTTTGGTGGCAACTTTTTTTTTTTGGCCAGGCAGTGTATATATTCATATTCTAAGACCTAGGAAATTAATTCAAGCAGCCGGCAAAAGTCCTGTTTGTTTCCCGCCTTCTGCATTGATGCCCTCTATAGCCAAGATTTTGCTTTTTTTTCATAGTGCTTTTCATTAATTATTTTATTGAGTACAAGTAACAAACCATTCAGTTGGTCTATGCCTTTGGAATAGGTAGACATGAAACTAGAATTGTGGTGAAAGTGTGTTTATTTGCGCAAACAAACTGCAAATGTCATTATGCAAAGAAAAAAAGAGAGAGAAAAAAAATCTAAAAAGACTACTACCCATTGCAGCTTCCAACATTTTCCCCTAAAACTTGTGCATCTATCTCCTGTAGTGTACAGTCTGTAGACACACATTGCACGGTCAATTGTTAGTGCTTTACAATACGTATAGAATATTAAAGGAACAGTATAGTTCAAATGTATTTTTATTTATTTTTTACTTTTTGCCTGATAAATGCTTAGATTTCCAGCTTGTAAATAGTCTGCCAGCACACATTCTGGAGTGTCCCTGTTGACTGTAATGTCACATATCTGCAATTTAGGCTGTGTACACAACATGAAACCCACCCTCCTTGCACAACAGACTTGGGAAGCCATCAATGAATAAATGAGACAGTGTGTTACATAAAGTGTCACTTTATTACCAGGACTTTTTATTCATAATAAATAAATGGGGAAAAGAAACATTTATAGTGTGCCTTTGGGGTACATTTCAAAGTATGGGACATCATCAACTATATATGAAAATGCAAATCTGCCAGTCTCACTCAACCAAGACTGTGCCCAGCCCTGAAAATTCTCATTTTAGAGCCACGCAGACCATTTTTGCAAAGTTTGGATCTCTGTTCTGTCTACAACTCTCCTGCACAGTGCTGCTTTAATATTATTTACAGAATTATAATTCACTCAGTGGTATTTCCAGCAGTGTCTGTGTTGTTATAATATACTTATGTGCTTTGCATATTGCTTTACATTGGAGTTATATGATCCTGCGGCGCACAGGTTTACCATCTGTCGTGGGAAAGGTGCACTCAATGCATACTATGAAACCTGTAATGAAGGGAGTGTTGGGAAAGGGGGCATGAGTCAGGGAGATAATAATGGCACAATTCTGCTGTCAGAGAGGTATAATTTTATAGTATTCCCACTAGACATACATTCCTGTTCTGAGGGTTTAAAGGCATGTCAAGCCGCAGATACTTACCACTGGGAAGTGGGCAATACAAACTTAAAAGAAACAAAAAGTGTAAACTTAATGGCCAGTTGATTTATTTTGGAGGAAATAGAGCAGTAACAATTCCCTTGTGGTCTCTGCCCAGGGAGGGGAAAGGATAGGCATGTTCTAGCTGGTAGTTCTTTAGAAGTTTAATAAAATTGGCTTGTCTTATGTTAGAGAGAGTGTCTGCCCCCACATGGATGTGTAAGAGGAATCAAAATTCTCAGAGTGAAGGAGAAGGTACTGGTAAAGGTTTGATATCTAGCTTGGTGGTTTTGCAATGTTACTTGTCATCCTAATTCAGATGGCTTGGTCCATTGTGTCACTGTCACTCCCGATGACACCTTCCCTGCTTCATATGTAAATATTTTAAAAGATACGTAAAATTCTCTTCTGCAATGTCTGTAAAGTCACAAGTAAAAGGAACACTATAGTCACCAAAACAACTTTTGCTTAATGAAGCAGTTTTTGTGTGTAGGTCATGCCTCTGAAGTTTCATTGATTAACCCCTTAAGGATGGAGCCAAATGTACACGTTGTGAACGAAACAAAATGTAAACAAAACCTGGCATTTGCGCTACATGTCTGTCCAACCGTAATTCAACTCTTTCATAGTAAATACACCCACCCTTATTATATATAATTTTATTCAAGGGAAACAGGGCTTTCATTTAATATCAAATATTTAGCTATGAAACATAATTTTATATGAAAAAAATGGGAGAAAATAAGATTTTTAAAAAAAATTTTTTAGTTCTACATGACATTTTAACTGTCAATGTCATAATACTGTTTGCTTTTACTGCAATAAAATACACATATTTGTATTCAGCAAAGTCTCACGTGTAAAACAGTACCCCCTATGTACAGGTTTTTATGGCGTTTTGGGAAGTTACAGGGTCAAATATAGCACGTTACATTTGAAATTGAAATTCGCCAGATTGGTTACGTTGCCTTTGGGACTTTATAGTAGCCCAGGAATGAAATTTACACCCACAATGGCATACCATTTGCAATAGTAGACAACCCAAGGTATTGCAAATGGGGTATGTCCAATCTTTTTTAGTAGCCATTTGGTCACAAACACTGGCCAAAGCTAGCGTTAGTATTTGTTTGTGTGAAAAATGAAAAAACGCCAGTTTTGGCCAGTGTTTGTGACTAAGTGGCTACTAAAAAAGACTGGACATACCCCATTTAAAATACCTTAGGTTGTCTACTATTGCAAATGGTATGCCACCATAGGGGTAATTTTCATTCTTGGGATACCATAGGGTCTCAAAGGCACCGTAACCAATCTGGCGAATTTTAATGTGAAAAAAATGAAATGAAAGCCTTATATTTGATGCTGTAACTTTTGAAAACACCATAAAACCTGTACATGAGGGGTACTGTTGTACTCGGGAGACTTCGCTGAACACAAATATTTGTGTTTCAAAACAGCAAAAAGTATCACAGCAATAATATCGTCCGTGTAAGTGCTGTTTGTGCAGGAAAAATGCAAAAAAATGCACTTTTACTGGCGATATCATCGTTATAATACATTTTACTGTTTTGAAACACTAATATTTGTGTTCAGCGAAGTCTCCCGAGTAGAACAGTACCCCCCATGTACAGGTTTTATGGTGTCTTGGAAAGTTATAGGGTTAAATATAGTGCTAGCAAATTAAATTCCCTTTACTTTCGGCATGGGTTGTCAGGCAGGTCCCGCTAATTGTAATTAATTAAGATACCTAATTATGTAAAAATAATTACATAAATATATATGTAGAGTTAATACATGTGTATATATATACCTATGTGAATCTATATGTGTGTGTGTGTATATATATATATATATATATATAATATATAATTTTTAAAATATTTTTATTTATATATAGGTATATATATAGTGATATATACGTATATATTTATGTATGTAGATATATATATTATTTTGTTCTACGTGTATTTTGATATAAATATATATATATATATATATATATATATATACATATATATATATATATATATATATATATATATATATAAATATCACAATACAGTTACAACGAAATAACACACATCTATATATTTTTTTATTATTGTTTATTTTTTTAACATATTTACATATTTAATTTTTTTATATTATATATAAATATATATATAACAATAATTATATATATATAAATATTTAATCAGTATCAGTCTACGTGTAATTTGATATTAATATATATATATATATATAATTATATATATATATATATATATATATTAATAGTAAAATACACCTAGACAGTGTTTGTGTGTGCATGTATACGTGTATATATATACTTAGATCATAAATATATATAATTATATATATATTAATAGTAAAATACACCTAGACAGTGTATGTGTGTGTATGTATATGTGTATATATATACTTAGATCATAAATATATATATAATATATATATGATCTAAGTATATATATATATTTTTTTTTACACTTAATTAATTTATTTTAATTTTATTTCCAGCCAGCAGGGGGACCACCTGTCATTACAGGGAGCCCCCCTGCTGGCAATACAGAAGCCAGCTATAACGGCCATGTGATTGTGGGGTCCTCGCAAGGACCTCACTCTCACATGGCCGGGGGGCACCGGAGGAGGAGGATCTGCCGCGGGGGGGCTCCCTGGGAGTCCCCCCCACCGCGATCGCCGGCGTGGCCGCCTAAAATAGGGCGTAATTGTACGCCATCCGGTCTTAAGGGGTTAACTCACTGCTATTTAGGAATTAAATCACTTTTGTTTGTATTTATGCAGCCCTAGCCTCACCTTCCCTGGCTGTGACTGACACAGCCTGCATGAAAACAATATGATTTAATTTTCATTCAAATGTAACTTATTTTAAAAGTTTTCATCTCCACTTTTGTAAATTAAACTTTAATCACACACAGGAGGCTACTGCAGGGTCTAGCAAGCTATTAACAGAGCAGGAGATAAGTAATTCTAACTAAAACAGAATTTGCAATAAATGAAATTTAAACATTAGATGACTTTTTACAGGAAATGCCTAGGAAGAATGTGTAAGTCACATGCACTGAGGTGTCCTAGGGTTGCATAAACAAAGTGATTTAACTCCTTAATGGCAAAGAATTGAGCAATTAGACTGCAGAGGCATGATCTATACACCACAAATGCTTCATTAAGCTAAGGTTGTTTTGGTGACAATAGTGTCCCTTTAAATATTAAAATTTATACAAAACAAATAATAAATGTCACCCTAGAGAAGTGGTGGCACCAAGGGTAAGTTATTTAGCTGTGTTCATACTCAAAAGTGGACTCTGGTAACTAAATCAGAGGTCTCACATTCATATGTGTGGGAAAATTGCTATTTGCAATTACAAGAGATAAAAATGTCACATATAACAAAACCTAACCCTGATCGTGATCTCATTGTTATTCTGTTTATTTTTATATGTTGTTGACTTTTTTAGTGATATATATTTATACATCATGTGGGTAGAAATGTTGTGGAATATCCTACCGCAGCAGCAAGCATGTTTAAACATTCCCACATAATATGAAAGTTAACGGCAAAACCTGCATTAAGGCAAATAAGGGCAATCAATGGGTTCAGGTGACATTTATAAAAGTGGTTTATGTATCCAGAACCTTTAGGTGGTATTATTTTCTTTTAATACATGAGTTACCATTATGTGCCCTCTCTCTTAAATATATAACCTACTGCATTAAAACACTGTGCCTACAGCAATACCTCCACACTGTCACAAACTATGTAATTATAGGTGTTATTTCTCCCTCCATATTACAGGGAGCCTGGGTCAACTGTATCAAAATCAGTCCCTTGACTTTCAGGATACCATTTAAGGTTGCAACCCTGATCAGCCCCACTTGCCATCAATGCCCCTGAGCACCTGACTGGCATTGCTCGAATACAAAGAATCAGTCTATTGAATGCATTTATGAGTAATGTGCGAGTCGCGCCAGAAAATCCAGGAATAATCCAATTTTGTTTGCTTGCAGGATCGCCAGTTTATGTATCTTTTTTTCCCACACTTTTACTGCCTAGGTGTGTACATTTACTCATATTCATATCAACAAGTTGTTCCAGTCTGTCCAGTAATGCTCAGAGATTGTGCGACAAAGAAATTAATACATGAATGGATGGTGTGAATTTTTTTGAAAATTCACATGACTGTATTGAGAAGAGTCAGGTTCTTCTCTGTTTGTTTTAGGCTTTGTTTGTTGTCTGCAACTTCCTTGGGGTGCAGAGAACAGAAAGGTTAGTGGTTTATGGAACGCACAATGGGATTTATTAATTTAGGTATGTGAGGAATGTTTCATAATAAGGTTTGAGAGATCTCTCTTATAACCAAACAAAAACACACTTTAAAGTGTTGGGAAATTAAATCTGAGGACGGGATTACAGGAAACACATTATTAGAGACAGCTATAAAGCCTTATGCGTTAACCCTTTGAAGGCTGACTGGAAATAAACATTATACTTTCTACCGAGTTGCTTAAAAACACAGAAAGCTCCAAAAAAATAAATTCTCTTTGAAATTAGAACAATTCAAACCTTAGTGAATAACACCTCTATAGCCCTGGATACTTGGTCACTTGGCAAAGCAGAAGTAAAAGAATTGTCTGTACCAGAAAAGGAAACCTGAATTAACTTATTGCTGCTCAAAAATACTAATGGGGGAGAGATCACTTGTAAATCAGTGTAAAACATATTTATGACAGTGAATTGCTTTTAAAAACTCATCAAATTGAAATAAACTTTAATACACTTTTAACAAGATTTTATCAAATTATTAAAATATAAAAACAATTATGTATCAAAAATATACCAATAAATAAAAAAAAATATATATATTTTTTAAAAATATTAAATCACTTGAAAGCTTATTCAATGATGTTTAAATTGAAGTCACTGTATATAACAAAAAATGTTCAAATCTCAACTAACAGGATCATATATTGATTCAACAACACACTTAAGAAAATGAAATCGGAATGTGAACTTGAGGCTAAAATAGTTTATTTGGAAACATGAACTTTGCTCTAGTCACAGCTTTTGTTCCACCTTCCATTTTGCCATTATTATTATTAATAATTAATTCTGTGTTTAGCAACTGAGCAGACAAAGTCTGCAATTACATTTCATCTGAACAATAAATGTAGTAAACATCACAAAATAGCAAAGAAAACCATTCAGAAAATGTGTGATTTTGGTGTTTTTTTGCTCACATCCTATCACATGAATTACTAACACGTTATATATCAGCTTTGGGGAGGGGGGTGGAGAAAAGAATAAAGCTAGTAGTGATAAACTAGTCAAAGCAGGGTCCCTGCATGCTGTGGCTGTTAGCGTGCACAATAATAATGAGGATGCTGAGGATGCTGTGTACAGCCCAGTGTGTGTGTGTCCCAGCAGCACTATTACAGAGAGCACATGGAAGGGAAGTGTTTGTCGGCTCACACTTCCTGTTAGTTTGTATTTCCCGCCCAGCAGCCGGGGAGTGAATCAGAGAGCCGGCGGGTGGCCAGCTGGGTGCAGGGGGACATGCTGTATGTATTTTGGGCTGAGGGAGACGGGAGTGCTCTGTATCGTGATGTAAATGAGTGCCGAGTGGATCCTCAGTGCTTGTTACTGACCTCTGTTAGTATAGCACAGCAAAGCATGCTGGTACTTGTAGTCCGCAGCGGGTGGAGTGCCAGAGCCTGGCCAGCCCTGAGTTATAAAACAGGGGACGAGTCATTGAATTTACACTGTGCTGGGACAGCTTCAACGGGAGCTTTAATGACACGTTCCCTGGATTATTATTATACTTTATTTGTACAGGATTATACAGTACTGGGTGCTAGCTTCCTCTTTCATGTCCTTTATAAAAGAGTCATTGCCACAACTATTGGATTTAATTAATCCCACTTAATGAGCTGCTAACCATTTAATTTTCTCTTTCTATGGGTTTATATAGAAGCCTTGCTGCTGTGTGCTTTTTACACTTTTTAAACTTACATTGTTTTACATGGTATGGATAAGTTTGGGTTATGTATAAGAAGTGATAGGTTTGCTATTATTTTTGTGGATATGCTCTGTTTTGTTTTGTATAAACCCATTATTCCACTACACAATCAATTTTTCTGCCACTTTTTTTATTTTTATTTATTTTTTTTTGCTCCTTTTTTTTCCTGATGAGTTTATTCACAATCTAAATGTTCCGTTCCACATTCCAACATCACTTGTGCCATTATCAGATTGATGAAATAGGCCCCAGTACCGTAATCTAAACACTTGTGTTTAATAGATTACAGTCCTGACATAGAGAACAATAAAAAAAGGACACTAAGTGGCAGAACCACTAGATCTTAATGTAGTGGTTTTGGTGTAAAGAGGCTGTCATTGCAACCTCAGCAATACAAACACTGGATTTTCTAAGAAAAGGCAGTGTTTACATTGCTATCTAGGGACACCTCTAGTGGCTGTCACACAGGCAGCCACTATATGCCTTTCCTGGTTAAATGATTACTAGCTTGTTCTATAGTCTGTATAATTAGCATGCTATTTGTCATTCCAGGCTTCAACCATTTCCATTAAGGAATCCATCGCTATGTGATTTGAGAATTATAAACCCACTCAGCAAGTGATTCGTGGTTCCTTCAGGATGAACATCTCAAGTGGTAGCTGTTCTAGTCCAAGTTCAACTGAAAGTCTTCCTCCTGGGGATCTTTTCAAGGACCTGTGGTCCAAATTGAAGGAATGTCATGATAAGGAACTACAAGGTATTGTGCCTTTACATGAACCAAGTGACATATTCCACTATTTATTTTTACGTTATAGAGATATATTGTTTTGAAAGGACGTGGACCTTTCTCATTTCGAGAATATGGTCTCATGAGGGTATTTGAAGTCCTTAACCCCCCCCAATTTATCTCATTATAAAATATGCATGAGTATAAAACGTATATGGGGGGGTAGGGGTAGAGCCCTCTTGACGTTACAGAGAAGGGCATGCCACTTGAATACATACAACTCTATCAAACTGCCTTTAAAATGAGGTTGATACTTGGTTGGTGTGGAGTATTTGCTCCTCTGTTTTAATTTGTTGAGCTTATTGCTACAGTTATTTAACCCCTTAAGGACACATGACATGTGTGACATGTCATGATTCCCTTTTATTCCAGAAGTTTGGTCCATAAGGGGTTAAAAAAACAAACTGTATTGGCATAGGCAAAACTGTAACTTCAACATGGTAATTAGTGCAATGAGTGCTTGGATGTGCAGCCAAAATGTTTTTAGTTTGGCACACTCCCACAAGGCATGTAGTACGTATCTCTTGTACGAGTTGCATCTCTAACATCTATCTGAGGAAGCTGGAAATATATGGACTAGGCGGTGGGTGTCGGGTACCCGTGATACCACAGTGTTAAACACTTTTAAGTTCCCATCATGGCTGTCACAGTTATTAAAGACTTTGCAGTAATTCATGCTGGGTAAAATAATAAGCAATGACTGCACCCAAACTATGAGCGATCATACCAAAGAGCCCATATATATTTAAAGGAACACAATAGGGTCAGGAACACAAACATGTATTCCTGACTCTATAGTGTTAAAACCACCGTTTAGGTGGCTTGGTCCTCTATCCGTCCCCTTGGTGACATATCAGGATTTACGATTTTTAGCCAATCTAATGCTTTTCCCATAGTGAAAGCATTTGATTGGCTGAAATTGGCAGGATGGGGGTGGGACCAAGTGCTGTTCAGTGTATCTCTATGAGGAAAACTCTGCGTGGAGACACTAAACGGCTCCTGTTGTGCTATCTGCTTCCAGCTTGGGCTAGCAATACCGATGACCGTTGACAACTTTAGACACATAGTTACTACAACATCTATCAGTTTAAAAAAAAAAAAACAGTCCATATCATCAAAAGACTGGGCAGATAGAAATCCTCTTTTTACAGCAATTATGTTCCACGTCCTGAGAGAGAAATCCGGTTATGTCCATGCTTTTAAATATTCTGTTGCTAAAAAAAAAATAATACCATTAAATAACAAATGTGTTATGAAAATGTTAAAGCTTGTTGAACCAGTTTAAGGATAGAAAAAGACAACACACCTATAAACCAGTTTTATGTTCTTTGCAGCAAATTTTATTTTAGTTATATTTTAAATGCTGTATGATAACATGTTTACCATAATTACAGTCTAGGGTCAGGAATTTATTGGCATGTGTGTAGGTAGTGGGTACCTTGTAGTGCGAAACCAAAATCTCCTATTCCAACCACGCTCTTGACAATAAAAACCTGAGACATACTTGTGGTATAAAATAGGCCACAGCTTTATTTACACTTTAACAAATATCGTTAACCATAACTTAACATATTAACATAATATATTTAACTTAACTCGTCCTTGCAAATTCGTCCCACCGATAATCCTGAATCCTCCTGGGGCCTGTCCTCCCCACCAACTGGCCCCCAACTTTGCCTTACCATTTCACAATGCCAACCACTAACTGGCCTTTGGCTCAGTGGGCACGTCTCTTTATCAAAACCATGTACCAGAGGTTAGGGGAGGGATCAGCCCCGACCTTCCTTCTTCCCTATGTGCTCCTGATCCAATCCGATTGGCAAGTGTTCAATAAAAACATGGCAACATTTCATTCTTTGTGTGTTATTAGTTTAAGCAGACTGTGATTGTCTATTGTTGTGACTTAGATGATGATCAGATCACATTTTATGACCAATTTGTGCAGAAATCCATATCATTCCAAAGGGTTCACATACTTTTTCTTGCAAGTGTGTGTGTGTGTGTGTGTATATATATATATATATATATATATATATATATATATACACACACACACATACACACACACACACAGTGTGTGACAAAGGTTGCTACATTGGAGAAACTGGCCTTAAAATATATATACAGTTTCTCCAATGTAGCAACCTTTGTCACACACTGTGTCATGTACACCGTGTGTGTGTGTGTGTGTGTGTATCTCAAGAGGCAGCTGCCCTGGTGCTGCAGGTGCAAAGGGAATGGCGTTCCTGCTTTGGAAAAAGTGCAGGAACTCCGTTCCCATGTGTTCCTGCAGGACTCGAGCCCTGTGTATGTTAAACAAAAATATGCACACCAGTGAAGCCATAAGACTTGCTTTTCCCACAGAAATCACAAATTTGCAGTGATAACCTTTTTGTTTTTTGCTTACCAAGCCTCAATAGCAAACCCGTAACCAACCTCATTCTGATGATTTGCATTAACAATGAAACAGCTGTCCATGAGTGGTTCACTGGCTTTGCATCTTTTACTAAGTTGTGTTTCCAAGCTGTTGTATACAGCAAACACAGACTCAAAGGAATCCATGTTTAAATTGGAATGAGGCAAAAATGTGATTCTTTGTTAAACTAATTTGTATATACCCACCCAGAATCCTTTGCAGTAATAACTAAATATATAAATAAATGAAAACCAAGGATGGCTAGGGCTGCTCTCGCCTGAACATGCATATATTATAGGGTGCTGCTGGGGCCAATTTATACAACATACACAATCCAGCGAACTCTCATAAGAGCAGGCATTAGGCAGCTAGGGTAGGACCTGCCAAGAATGGGGTACATTGACGTTGTGGCAGGCTTATGCAATGTATGATCATATAGTGTAATAACACCCCCCCCCTTTTTGCCTAGGTGAGGTGTTTTAAAATGAAACCATTAAAAACTGATATTTTTTTTTTATTTTTATTTTTTTAAAAATTTTATCGCTGTTTAGTGAATGAGCAAGTGCGATTGATTGTGTTTTTTGTATGTTATATTATTTGTGGGGGGTGCGCGGGGGCTGTTCTGATGTGCAGCTAAACATTTCATTAGACAGACTTGTAAAACTAAATCCTCATCTAATGCACATTCGATGCCCAGCTGAGTTGTCAGATTAGTTTTAAAAAGCGCAATACTCACATTGACATTTTTTCCCCTCCTGTAAAAACATTGTGATTATTATTAAAAAAGTTTAATTGATTTTTCACTATACCGTTACAAAAAGTTAAGTTGTTCCTAACAGTATGTTACTGAATTTTTGAAGGTTGAAAATTCAGATTAAGTCAGAACATGTCCGCTATAGATTTGCAAAGGCATAACTAATCACAGAACATAATTTAATGAGTTTTCCTATGGGCTTGACAAAGACACTATGTGAAGATGCATGGCTCTTAAAGAATACCATTTATGGCAAATCCAAAAGGGGTTTTTATGCCATCAACGGAACAAGTAATTTATTTTTTATCTATGCAGGTTATTAAAATAAATATATATTTGTGACACAAAGAACATTTTTCATGCTGATGGTCCCATATTTGTTTATATAGAAGATCATGAGATGCTTTGGTGGATCGTTATGATAGCCTTCACAAATTTGTATTAAAGTATTTTTCCAGTGTGTTTTTTTTATTTTTTTTCCAAGACCTGAGGATGCGCCTTTGTTTTGATACTCTGTGTGTGTGTGTGTGTGTGTGTGTGTATGTGTGTGTATATATATATATATATATATATATATATATATATATATATATATATATATATATATATATATATATATATATATTTACAATAAGTTATTAAAAGGTTTAAGAAATGGAGGAGATAAAAATGGCATTTTTTTTTTTTTCTTGTAATGATTTAAACACTGTTTTATTTCAAGAACAAAATAGGCTAATTTACTTGTCCTCATGGTTTTAAATATCTATGATTCTTATATATGAAAATAAGTCCATGGTACAAGGAGTGAATGAAGCTTTTAATACTAAAAATGTGAAAGTTCATTATGAAAGTTTAAAATTGCTACACAAAAGTATATATTTGTGTAAAAAAAAAAAAAAAATCCCAGGATATTTACAATGTGGCATTTGTTTGGTGTGTGTGTTTGTGGTCCCCTCAAACATATATGTGCAAACGTTATTTTCACTATTACTACAGTATGCTTAATGTGGGCTATTGCAGAAAATGAAAAATCGCAATGGTATTGATTTTATACGGTCAAATTTTATAGATGACCTTTTTGGAATTCAGACTTTGCAGTTTCGAGAGATTGATATACTGGGCCTATCACACATTTGGGTTTTCTTTAGCTCCAAACAGTTTACCAGGATTGGGCCCTTCAGGGGGACCCAGATATTGGCCGATCATAATGGTCAAATAATGGCTGTTGGTACCTTGTGTATCATTCATCCCTGAGGGGTTGATGTTTCACACCTCATATTTTCAGGGATTTTGCAGTGACAGTGACAAAAGAAGTATTCTTAGTCACTATAATAAAATAAATGGACACTTTGGAAAACTGTCACTCAAAATTGAATTCAACACTCCTAATATTCCAGTCACTAATAGGTGTGAACAGGAGGGCTCCTGTTCCTACCTGCATGGATGTGCAGACTCATTCCTCCTTCTCATGGGTGTGGAGCAGCATTACACATGTATTTCATCTTTGAGAGACCCTGTGCTATCTTTATATAAAATGATTTAGCAAAATTTGTAAAAGTTCCTATGCTCGCTTACGTTATTTTGTAAAGTAGTCTACAATTAAGCTAGCCAAACTTTAATATTTTCTAGGGCTTGTGAAAGACTAGACACTATTTAAAGATTGTTACTACAGAGTATTTTTTTTTTTTTATAGAATTCTGGAGAAACCTTTCCTAGTTCTACTGTATTCTAAATTCTCTAAATGTCAGCGTGCATTGTATTGCATTGCTTCTCGCTACAGTTAGTTCACGTAAGTAAACGAGTGCTCAACACATGTTCTGTGGGCCAATTGTAGCCCACCAGACCCATTAGTGTAGTCTGTGAAAAGCTTTTCAGATAAAACAAGAACATGAAGTTCCAACTTCAAGACCAGATTTTAGTTTTTTCCCAAAGCATGCACAGACTGCAATATCTCCACTCCAGGCCAAGTTCCAAAAGCGTTTTCCACACTCAAGAAAGGACAGTGAAAGAGGTAACTAACTCTTGCTCTGTGAAAGTCCTCCTAATGAAAATCATTGACCTTCAATGTGGAAATCAAAATTAATGTAGACTCTCCTAGAATTTTACCAAAAGTATGTAGAAAAGGGGAATATTGTCAATATTATAATATATGTGTGTGTGTGGTAAGAAAATGTCTCCCCTCGGAAGCAGGTACTTATATATTTTTCAGAATGATGCACTCAAAGTCAAAACTAAGGACAAAAAAAGATACTGATTGTCATCTGGAGCACTGCCTCTGATTAGCTGCACCAAAAAGAATTCTGAATATTGAACTATTGGTTAAAAATAAATAAATCGCAGTCCATGTTCTCATTAATTAAAGGGAATCTACAAAGCAGTTTTCCTGGCACTATAGAGTCCTACAGTGACCCCCTCCCGCTGCGCTGAGTCCTTATGCAGTGTTTGAGAACGTCCAGCTTCAAATACTGGATCAGAGGTCCGTTGCAATTCAGGCAGTCTAGTGACTGTCTGGTAGACAGCTGTAGCAGACTCTCTTCCCTTGTGTTCAGTTGTCCGTACCCCCTTGTTCGTCTCCCAAATGACTGGTGTGTGGTCCCCTTGTTATGCCCCAGCGAACACAGACCTTCGCTGGCTGTTGACCACAAATTAACAACTTGACACCTTCATTTGAGTGCTTTCCAATGGTGACTCTCGAACACAGGCACATGGTCGTCATACGCCTGGCAGTGGTTTCAGCCATGCGAGTCAGCAAACCCCGGTGACCTTCTTACTGCTGCCTGGTGCAACTTCCCGACCATCTAGACGAACAACGTTCGGGAGATACAATCTACAAACTGGGGTGAGCGTTCGTTGGTGTCCGAAAGCCGGTCAAAACTTTATTTGTACAGAACTTTCGTTCTACTGAACCAACCTGAGCGCTTCTTGGATATGTTGTGTGCTCAGGTTGGGGCTATTCAGGAATATGATTTTTGTGGGGTTCCTGTATTCTTTTTGTGTATTTTTGGGGTATTTTAAAAATGTACGTTTCTGTATTTGAGAGATAATTTAGTTATCCTAATTTGAGCTCAATTATCTCTCAAACACAAAGGCTCTTGGGAAGAAACCCCATGGTAGGGGCCAGCACATAAAAGCCGTGTGTGGCAGAATAAACTTCCGTTGTACTCCCAGAACACTGTGTCGTCCAGTTACTGTGAAGGAGGTGGGCTATTTACTTGGCAATTTCTTGGTCCCAATTTCTACTATTGGCAATGCAACGGAGGAAAGTCCTGGGCAGGACTAGGGCTCCGATACAAAAGCCACTAGAGGTGGAGTTAACCCTCAAACTGCAATAATTACCACTGTAAGGTTAAGGGAAATTGAACATTGCACCCAGACCATTTAAATAAACTGAAGTGGTCTGGGCGCTTAGTGTCCCTTTAACACTATATTATTCCTTTCATTGCTGTGGTATAGCCCGTGAAATGTACTATATTTGAAGCAAAATGTTGATTACTGATTGATAAATCACTTGGAATATTTTATGATTATCCCATACTAAAAAATTTACAATTTAGTATAGGTTTGAACGCTTTCAAATGAAGCAGTGTGACTGGCCCACCCTAAAATACATTCCAGAAGCCAACCAGTAAGGTTTCAAGTAGCGTAAACTATAACTGACAATTCAACATGGTGATTTGGCATTTTATATCATCTCATACTTGTCACTGTTATTGGCCAGAAGTAAGAGGGTTGCATAATGTACAGACATGCTGTCACTGTCTGGTCTGATTTAATTTGCCTATAAGCAATTATTAGCTATTTGAGGCTCTAACCTGATGATTATGTTTGCTGTCATATCTTCTAGAAACATGTGCTTAAGTCCCCAGCTCAAAGATTTTACAAAATAAACTGGTGTTGACAATCTCTTGTTGACTTGATGGCATCATATGAGACAAAAATGTTATGGCTTAAAGGAACACAAACATGTATTCCTGACCCTATAGTGTTTAACCCACCATTTAGATGGCTTGCCCCCCCTATAAAAGTTTAAAACTCACCTTATTTCCAGCGAAGAGCAGGTCCTCCGGTGCTGGCTCCACCCCCTTTGTGACATAATCAAAATGGCCGATTTTTACCCAATCCAATGCTTTCCCTATGGGAAAGCATTGGATTGGCTAAAATCGTCACGGGCTAGGGTCAAATTCCGTGTTGGCCACTCACGACCTACTCGTAGAGATGCACTGAATCAATGCATCTCTATGAGGAAAATTCAGCGTCTCCATGCAGAGCGTGGGGGACGCTGAACTGCAGTGCTGCTTTTTCGGCAGCACTGACTCAGGAAGCACCTCCAGTGGCCATTTGGAGGTGTCTTTAGAGGCAATGTAAACACTGCCTTTTCCTCTGACTAGAAAAAGGCAGTGTTTACATGGGTGGGGAAAAAATCCTGGGAACGATTATACTCACCAGGACTACATTAAGTTGTAGTTGTTCTGGTGACTATAGTGTCTCTTTAATTCCCTTTTGTACTTTAAATAAAACAGATCTGTAGGTAGCAGGTGCACATGCAAATTAATACCTCAAATTTTTTTTTTTTTCCTTTTTCAGAGCTGCTACTGAAAATTAACAAATTGAAAAAGCAAAGGTGCCTGTAAGTATTTATTTTGATGACTGTTTTCATATAAAATTCTTTTTGACATATTGAAAACCCTGATAAACTATATTCAGACATTCTGATGACTCCCAATGTCAACATTGCTTACATAAATGGAGGACTGGGGGTAACTGTATCTGCAGGTGAGGTTAAAGATAGATTGGGGCAGGTAGATATAGGAGCAGAACAGTCATATTATCTATTCCAGTAATGGCTAACGTGTGGCTCTGTTGTGTATCCCAAGATGCTTAGTCAAATGCCTTGCTTGCTTAGACCTGGCCTAATTAGACAGGTAATCCATAATGGTTACATTAACTCCCCAAGCATGAAACTATTACAGTATGCGTTTAGTGATTTTTGGCGCAGCCTGTGACGACATACCTGAGGTCTGTACTGTAATAGTTTTGGTGCTTTGATTCTTCCTTACAACGATTGGCTATAGTCTACCAACCAGCATCGCAAAAGATCCTTATTGGTTGAGTTGGATGAAAGATCAAGGTGCAATTCTGTATTTAGTGAATAACCCCCCAAGTTGTCCTAACAGTCAGACATGTATTTATTTTATATTTTGGTGAATGTATTTTATGCATTTTGTATGGTGGGAAATTCAACTTGTATGTGTGCTGTATTATTTGTTAAAGATTGTTTAGTCTGAAAAATGCGATGCGCTTTGATGCTGTAAATCGACTGCATTAAAGTATTTCCTTTTCCTTGCTTTCTTTTTTCACACCATGAAAGTGTATTTTATTTTTGCCAGCTTAGCTGCAGCGTCTGCGGTAAAGGAATATTCTCGGCAAGAAGCCTCAGCCCTGACTTAATGCATACCACACCAAATGCCTTAATTATTGTTTGCTGGAGTCTCTCGACAAGCGCCCCATTGTAGATACAATAACTGTATATAGGCATTCTTGTTCTCCTTGACCCTGGCTGAATACCTGAGGTTTAATATTTCTGAGCTGATAACCAGCGTGACAATGGACGCCTTATGTTATTCTACGGTTTCCCATTGAATCTAATGATCTCTGAGAGGCTGGGTCACAGACTGTGATTGCCAGTGTAGCGTGGAGCCAGATTGTCAGTCATCTTACATGAAGTGGCCCTCAGATCCAATTCTAACATTCCTTTTGCCAACTTTCTCACGGTTTTTTACTTGAGCAAAAAAACAAAAAATGTATTGCCAATTCTTTTAATTATTTTAAAAACTTCCATGCTTTACATAACGGGCAACTCTGCATTTTTTTTTTTATTTTTTTTTTAAATTTTTAGTGTTATTTTAAAAGTGTTTTTATAATATATTTTACCTTTTTAGAGCACTCGTTCAAGGTTGTAGCGTTTTAAATTTTGGATTCAAGCTAGATTTCCCCAGTTAAGCTGTGCTTTTATTTTACAAGCTAAGACTTAATTTGCAAGCCACCATGTTGGCAACGAACATATAAGAATTTAACATGGTTACCGCCGCTAATCACTGTTGTTAGGATCAGATGTACTAGGAAAATCCTCTAGTTCCTCTCAGAGGGATTTTGGCAAAAATATGACTTGTCAAGATTTCAAAATGAATTTAAGTCCGTTATGGATTAAGTTCAGTTAATGTTGTCTGTCACCAATTTAAACCCTGTGGTTTGTTTGTGTTTTTTTTTTTTTTTTTCTTTGTTTAGTGATGCACAACGATTGGATGAATTTTTTACTAAAAACAAGCAGCTTCGTGAACAGCAAAAGGGGCTTCATGATACCATTAAGGTTTTAGAAGACCGGTAAGAGAAAATTAAATATTCTAAATATTGCAGCCATTGTCATTATGTTAAAAATATATAGCTCACACTGTGCAGAAGAGAATCAGTGTGGCTAAAGCTTAAAATGGCACAGAACATTGGAATAGAAGAATATTCCAAAAGCAGACATTTTAGAAGAAAAGTAAACCTAAAAAACGAAAATGTTAGCAGAATGTTAGTTGATTAAATGTACATAGATCAGATTGAATGAGATCATATGAATTGAGTGCTGCTGTTTGAAAAAAACCTATTAAAGGATCACTATAGGGTCAGGAACACAAACATGTATTCCTGACCATATAGTGCAAAACCCAACATTAAGGTGGCTTGCCCCCTTAAAAGCATGAAAAACTCTCCTTATTTCCAGCCCTGTGCGGGACTGCCTGCATTGGCCCCGCCCCCTGGTGACATCATCAGAATTGCCGATTTTTAGCCAATCAGCATTGGATTGGCTAAAATCAGCAAGGGTGTGGGGCCAAAAGCCGTTTTTGCCAATAAGCACCTCCTCATAGAGATGCCTTGTATCAATGCATCTCTATGAGGAAAATTCAGCGTCCTCATGCAGAGTGTGGGGTCACTGTACAGAAGAGCTGCCTACTGTGCAGCCCTGAGCCAGAAAGCCCCTCCAGTGGCCATCTGAGGAGTGCCCACTTGGAGGTGTCCCTAAGGCAGTGTTTGCATGAAAATGCCTGAAGGCGATGATTACACTCACCAGAACAACTACATTAAGCTGTAGTTGTTCTAGTGACTATAGTGTCCCTTTAAGGATTAGAGCTGTCCATATATGGCCTTGTTCCAAGCACAGATCTGTAGAGCCACAGTACAGCAGAAAGGGCTTTGGAAGTTCTGTAGTATTTAAAAAGGCAGGAACATGACTGCGTGGAGATAGATAGAGATAGATAGAAATATATATATATTTAAAAAAATAATTATTTTCTCATTGCTAGACTCCGTGCTGGTCTGTGTGACCGATGTGCAGTAACTGAAGAACACATGAGGAAGAAGCAGCAGGAATTTGAAAATATCAGACAACAAAACCTAAAACTCATCACAGAACTAAGTAAGTGTCTTTACATGCATACCCATTGCATCACGATTTCCTTATATCTTTCCCCATGCTGTTTATTTCCTCAAACAAATTTGCATAGAGATTTTAAGGATTAGTGTAGACATAATGGCAAGCCCATACATTTATTTTTTCTTAATTTTTACAATGTGAATTTTTTGCTAAATACTTCTATCAAGTTCTGGGCATCATTTGATAGGCTGAGCCGGGTTGGATGACATTGATAACACAGAGGTGTTAATTCTAAATTGCAGCTAATTTTTGGGCAATCTCTGGGCACTGTGAAGATGTCAAACCACTCTAAATGTGTCGGCATTAAAACTAAATTAAAACTACATGGCACCTGGCCGCTCTAGATAACATAACCCCTAAGTGAGCTGTATTGTTTTTTGCTTAGTGTGTCTTTTTAAGAAAATATAGGTTTATCTACTTACTTTATTTTGCACATACGGAATAGTCTGAAATTAATTGCATAGAACCTATACTTCTTTTAGATGCTGAATTCTTTCATTTACATTTTAAAAAAGGTATGCATTCATTTTTTTAGATTTCAGAACTGTACATACGCAAACAATTACCCAAAACATATGGAGGAGCCTGCAAAGCCTCTTTTATTTGAAACTGCCTTTGCAATGGGCATTTGTTTGCTGTTAGAGAGGGAGAGGGTTGCAGTTTGTGTGCAATATTTATATGTATCTATGCTTTTGGAGTTAAGAGTACATTTTTAGTAGTAAGGCAGTCGCAGCCATTATCCTTCGTCATCACAGTTGTTCATCTTTTGTTACAGTGAATGAGAGGAATACTCTTCAGGATGAAAATAAAAGGCTTTCAGAACAGCTTCAACAAATTCAAAAGTCAGAGTGAGTAAAATGCCTAAATTATTTATTTTAATTTGATGAAAGCATCATTTTGTCTAATAGCTCTCAAATGAAATAATAAAAAATTATTTGCTTAATGTTTCAGTAGCTACATTTCCCTATTTTTTTATGGCGATTCACCTCACTTATCTAGTGGCCAGACCTGGCTTTAATCTGACCACTATAAAACAATCATGACTGGGTTGTTTCAGGCACATAGACCTATTTACTCGTGGTCACCTCAGAAGAAACCTTCAAGAGATATTATCTGCTGCTTGGCCAACTCCTCTTAAAGAGGACAGTCTGCAAGCAACATGACAGCTGGAACTGGTATTCGAGGTGCAACAAATTGAGATCTTTCAAGACCTGCACTTACCATTTTAATTAATCATATGATCAAGTAAAAGGCGTATCAAGCCCATACAAAGTGACAGTTTCCATAGTGATAGTAACCTTAGTTATTTAAACAATAACAAAGTGCAGTGTGCTTAACAACAACATCACTGAGTACACTTTTTTCCAAGAAAATGTTACTCAGTGATGTTGTTTAGCACACCGCACTTTATTGTTGTTTACATAACTGGTTATTATCACTATGGAAACTCACTTTGTATATAAGCCAAATATATCGAAACCTACAATAATTTAAGCCTGTAACCCAGCTATACATGACGGGAAACTGCAGATCGAAAGATCCCTTTGGGTATGCACTAAATCCTGGCACGAGAAGATTTGCCTCTGAGGCCTACTTGCGGGCTCTGGGCGCAGGAGGCGGCTGATCCTCTGCTCACATCTGCGCCTGTTGAACCAGTGCCCTGTTCTCCCCTCCCCCACCTGGGCCGGCGGGGGATATCCCGGTCCACACTGAAGTCTACTGTGCTACTCCTGCTGCACTTACCCCCAGATCAGCACCCTGACGCCTAATCTTAAGCAAGCTGGCGGATGCCCCTCATGCTGGAACATACCTTGCAACGTCTAGACAAGATTTTCCAGAGTTTTTGGCTTAAGCTACGCCAGTGCAACCACAACAGAGACACACTGCACCGGAGAAGGTGATAACCCCCCTCAATGCACAAGTCTGCAAGCTCACCCTGTTGCCTGCCCTCCTGGACCGAGAACCTCACAGGGCACTGCTTCCAAGCACTGACGGCGCAAGCCACAGATTGTCCGCCAACTGAGGTATTCTCCGCCTGGACCCTCTTGCTGCACCCCACAGCAGAAGTCCAAGACTCCGGCAGTGACCAAAACCTCAAGATGGCAGTGGAGTGCAGAGCAACGCATGTGGCGGAGAGAGCCATGCCGGCGGCTCGTGAGAGGTGCAGTGAGCGGGCCAGCAGTGGAACAGGGTATACACATGATCAGCAGAGAGAGACTCAAGAAAGACTCAGCCAGAAGGAGGCAGAAGGAACCCAGAAAAATGCCCTACCGTGTGGGCACTGTATTGACAACTTCCCTGCTGCGGAGCCTACTGACTCACCCCATTATCTGGGACTGCACTCTACCTTTGGCAGGCATCGGCTGAATAGATAGAAAGACGCTCAGCTCACCCTCTCATCACATCCAGCCAGGCTGTTCCATGGTGGAGATATGGTGCACTCACACCGTAGTTTAATTCTGTCATTGTTTATACCTGCACATACTTCGGGCTTCAAATGTCCTTGTATTAATGCTCTGGACAACGGTGCAACACCATTTTCAGCATAGCCTACTTTGTATCATAATTTAATTCCTACCTAACCATAACTGTCATATAACATGTCTTCATAGATCAGTATTAAGCACCTTGTCCTAGCTCAATCGCATACCTACAAGCTCAAAATGTCATTAGCATGTCATCATTTATATGTCTAGATACTACTGCAATGATAAGCTATAGTATAAGCTAGGTCTGGATATGCACACTCAACATGTACGTTTTAACAGTTACATACGTTCACGCAGAATTTCAGCATGTTTCTTATCTTTACGCATGTTTATTATGATATACAATCGTGCACGTTCACTCGACTACCCCAAATGTAAAGCTTGATATGCTAGAGGAAAGCCGTTGGGGTACCTTTGGCCTGCATGTACCTATCTTATGTACAGCAAAAATATTGAAAAAAATTAAAAGTTTTTATTTTATGTGTGGTTTGAGGAGGAGTTCACATTGCTTGATAAAGACACAGTCAAAATAAAGGGATATCATCTTTTCACAATAAGAAGTGCTTAATAAGAAAAATAAAAGTGAGTGCTCTCTTATACCATTTGTTATTTATAAGACATGGGTAGAGAGTGGCAGAACAATTAAAATATTACAACACCTTTAAAGTTTATAAAAATAAATTTAATAAAAAGCCTATTCAAATATATTAAATTTTGTCCTATATTGAATTTTGGTTGGTGAAAGACTGGCGTGCCAAGAAATTTGGCAAGAGAAAACTACAGGCAGAACAAGCAAAACCGTCTGTGATGTGTTAACGTTCTAATGACATGAGACAACGAAAAGGTATAGGGCAGAAGGTGATTTATTTTGCTTCCCTGTTATTGAAGTAGTCCGTTCCCACGGGGTGATATTTTAGCATAGTTCAGGAGCAATAGTTTGGTATATATGCATCATCATATTCACCTTTTTTGTTGGATGGTGACTTCTGAAAAGCAAAACAATCCCTTTCTGATCCAGAACCTAGTTATTCTTGGTAATATACATATGGTGCTCTAACATTCTGTTTTAGGCAAACTTCAAATCAAGAATTACATTCAGATCCAGTGGACTGTGAGGATGGCATTATTCCAGATTCCCCAGTTGGTTCTTTTCCTCAGTCCATGGTTAGCCGAATGCGGAGGAGAAAAGAAAATAGGCATGTCCGGTACAAAGAGCAAACACAAGAGCCGGCAGCTCCTGAGTCTACCAATAGTAAGTTGCATATACATAAATATATTATTGTGTTGGCACTCTACTACAAGGTGGTGCAGGTATTAGAGGTAACCCCCATAAGGACCTCAATAATATATACAAATTAACTATTAATACCGCACTCAATCGCATATAGTATGCGTAAACAAAAATAATAATGAATCTGTTGAAATGCAAAAATTCATTTATTGTACACTAATAGAAAACCGAAAAAAATAAAGAGGACCGATATTGACAAATATACGAAATGGTGCACACTGTTAATTTATTCACTATGCAATAGTTAATAGAGAAAATTTCTCTCTCTTTCTCTTTCTCTTTCTCTCTTTCTTAATGTTTTTAGCATCTCTTAACATACTTTCAACATACCTCCCTTATAATTTGAAGCGACCTAGTTTTAAGCCTACTGTCCACACTCTTTCCAACTTCCCACCAGGTTTACAAACCTTTCCCTATCCTACTACCCATGATTTCGCACCTGATGGTTAAACTAAAGAGAGAAAATCACAGTGAGAAGCGCTGAAGCGCCTTTAGCGGCTGTCAATGAGACAGCCACTAGAGGCTGAATTAACCCGTAGGTAAACATAGCAGTTTCTAGTTTCTATGTGGCTTTGTGATGTAACTCAGTCTGTGACATGTCACAGTGATGTTTATGATGTCATAATCTGAGCTCTGTATATCATACACATATCTGTGGAGGTCCAAACTATATTGTAATCCTCTACTTTGCATTTACCCATTTACACCTACACATTTCTCACTGCATTCTTTTTTGGTTTGATTGTTTTTATCTCCTCTTTAACTTCTTTCTCAGGTGTGGCCAGTGCCCATCTCATCTCCTTATTTTTGGAAGTTCCTTGTTTACCTCTATTCAATCCTGCTCTGCTCTGGATATGATTACGGATTCTTTAAAGGAACACTATATTGTCAGGCATACAAACACGTATTCCTGACACTAGTTTTGGAACAGCCTTTTAGGTCCGCCTCCTTAATTGAGGTCAAACTTGATGATCTCAGCCAATCCAAAGCTTTCCCATAGGAAATCTTGGGGAGGCTATTGCACATGCACAGCAAAATGCTGAGCTGCAACAATCATAATCTCCTCATAGAGATGCATTGAATTTATCCATCTCTGTGAGTTCAGCGCAGAGTGACTGAGTGACAGCCACTAGATGTGTCTCTAAAAAGACAGTGTTTACATTTAAAAACCTGCAGGGACAGGCAGTAGACACAAGAACCACTATATTAAGCTGTAAAATATTCTATATTTTGGAAATGTTTCTTTCATACATTTACACAGATGTGGTTGAGCTTTAGTGACTTGATGATATGACAATTAGCATTGCAAGCTCTTTTCTTTTTCTGAGTTTCCATGGGACATGGGATTGTTCCGGTCACTATAGTGTCCCTTTAATGCCTTTTATATACTGGTCTTTTTTATGTTGAACAAATTCAATAAAGACTTAACTAATTTTAAAAAAGGAATGGCATCCTGAATATTATATTTGTATTTAAAACCCAACAAACAATATTCATAATGAATAATCTCTTTGATCCTTAAGGACTTATTTCCCTCTACAGTAGATCATCCTTGAGGAATTCAATATTAAATGTAGATGTGGGCACTGGAGTTCTATCTAGCTTGCAGGAAAAGTACTGGTGTTCACATCATGTTGGTATGATCTAGTCCCTTCGGTTTGCAGACTGTGTGCAGGGCCAGTTTTATGGCTTAAGATCAGTGTGGTTGAAACGGACCTCTAAAGTTGCTGTGATCCCTTTATTGATATTACCAAGCAGTGTGTGTGTGTGTGTGTGTGTGTGTGTGTGTGTGTGTGTGTGTGTGTGTATACATACGCATACACACACACATACACACATTGCTTGGTAATATCAATAAAGGGATCACAGCAACTTTAGAGGTCCTTTCAACCACACTGATCATCCTTCTCTAAAGCACTCATGATAAGAATAGATGTGATTGTAAGGCCAGTCGACGGGATTGATTATATTTAAAAGACAATTTACAATTCAAATTAACTATTTTATTCCATGGAAAAGAGTGTCTATTTTTAATTTGTTTTGCATCCCAGTGTACTTTTTGAAGGACTAGGGCGGATGTCTTTCTAGTATATGATTGAGTCATATCTAAATCAAAACAACCGATACACTAGCTGTGCTTCCAGGATTTGAGAATCAAAGACGATCCTTGAAGGGGTATCATTCACAACATGGGAGCTATGAGATTAAATATACTCAAACATTCTATCTAGGAGAATGAAATGGGTATAAATTATGGTTATATCTCTGTTTTGACATTATTAAAAGTGGTCTGTATTTGGGATCGGGTGCTATGTCACAACATGAAACCAGAACTGTAACACTGTACTCTGCTATACTAAACGGCCATCTCATTCACCCTCATAAAATCATAACTAGGGTTTTGTTAACCAAATGAAAGTGACTGGTTGCCTGGGGGGTGTTATTAACCCCTTAAGGACTGAGCCAAATGTACACGTTGTGATCAAAGCAAAACGTAAACAAAAACTTTAATTTGCGCTACATGTCTTTCCAGGCGTAATTCACCTCTTTCATATTTTGTGCACCCACGCTTATTATATATCATTTTATTCAGGGAAAACAGGGCTTTCATTTAACATCAAATATTTAGGTATGAAACATAATTTAATATAAAAAAAGGGAGAAAATAAGAATTTTAAGAAATTTTTCGGTTCTATGTGACATTTTAACTGTGAATGTCATATTGTTTGCTTTAACTGCAATAAACTACACATATTTTTATTCAGCAAAGTCTCACATGTAAAACAGCAACCCCTATGTACAGGTTTTTTGGTGTTTTGGGAAGTTACAGGGTCAAATATAACCTCTTAAATTTTTCAGTTTTTTTCACATTGATATTCGCCAGATTGGTTATGTTGCCTTTGAGACCGTATGGTGAATGTATTGTGTTTATATAATGCAGAGTGTGTGTGTGTGTGTTTGTATAGTGTGCATTATATAAACACACTGCATTATATACACACGGCAGCAAGCGTTTACTTGCCTCCCAGCAGCTCCCCAGTGTAAGTATTGCACCCAGCGTGCTGCGCGGAGCGTTGCCATGGTAACCCGTGGCAACACTCTGACTGCCGCGGGTCTCGCGAGACTTACACTGGGGAGCTGGAGGAGCTGCTTGGAGGTAAGTAAACGCTTGCTGCGGACCCCCCAGGACCGCCGGGTTTGTAATGAGACTGGCGGTCCAAGGAGGTATTATCGGTATCTCTATTGGCTGATACCGATATTGCCGAAAATACAGAATATCGGCCGACTATATCGGTAAAACCGATAATCGGTCGATACCCTACAAGGTAACCAATCTGGCAAATTTCAATGTGAAAAACCTGTAATGGAGGCCTTATATTTGACTCTGTAACTTTTGAAAACACCGTAAAACCTAGACATGAGGGGTACTGTTATCCTCGGGAGACTTCGCTAAACACAAATATTTGTGTTTCAAAACGATATCATCAGTGTAAGTGCCAATTGTGTGTGAAAAATGCAAAAAAAGACACTTTCACTGACGATATCATCGTTGTAATACATGTTACTGTTTTGAAACACTAATATTTGTGTTCAGCGAAGTCTTTAGAGTAAAACAGTACCCCCCATGTACAAGTTTTATGGTGTCTTGGTAAGTTACAGGGTTAAATATAATGCTAGCAAATTAAATTCCCTGGACTTTTGGCTTGGGTTGTCAGACAGGTCCCGCAAATTGTAATTAATAAAATGACCTAATTATGTAAAATTATTACGTAAATATGTACATAGAATTAGTGTGTGTATGTATATGTGTGTGTGTGTCCTTGCAAGGACCTTGCGATCACATGGCCCAGGGGGGCCGGAACGGAAGGAGGGTGACTCCCTGGGATGCCAGTTGAGTCGCCACACCGCAATCGTCGGCGACCAGGTAACTACAGAGGACAGCGGGGGCGTGCTATGCCACCCCCGGTATTTAGAGCCAGGTCCCTAAGGACGGCATAGTACGCCCACTGTCCTTAAGGGGTTAAAACGTCCCTGTCATGACATCAGTTTGTTTGGTGGGTTTTTTTTTGTTTGTTTTTTTTTTTTTTGTTAAACTCCCCTCCTGACTCCTACATTTGATTGTCCCCCTAGTCACAAGACAAGGGGATATGGTAGAAACATTTAAATACGTAAAGGCAGGCAACACCGTAAAGGAGGAGAGTATATTTAAAAGAAGAAAAACTACCACAACAAGAGGACATAGTCTTAAATTAATGGGGCAAAGGTTTAAAAATAATAGCAGGATGTATTACTTTAGAATAGTGGATGCATGGAATAGCCTTCCAGCTGAAGTGGTAGAGGTTAACACAGTAAAAGGAGTTTAAGCATGCGTGGGATAGGCATAAGGCTCTCCTAGCTATAATATAAGACCAGGGACTAATGAAAGTATTTAGAAAATTGAGCAGACTGGATGGGCATAATGGTCATTGTAATATTCATTTAAATATAAAATATATTTTATACAAAGAGAAACACACAAATAAGTCAGCGCTACTGACAAACATCAGCCCTAAGAAAGGGAATCCCTCCTCACCCTTTAAAAGAATCAACAAGAACACAAAAAAAAGTAGAGGAAGGGCTGCACCAAATTAGAAAATTAATTGATTTACAAAACAGTATAGAATATAATTAAATTGGTACTTTAATTCTATTCTATACAGTTTTGTAAATGATCCATTTTCTAATTTGGCGCAGCCCATTCTCGACTTTTATTATATTTTATAGTAATAAATATTTATGGGAACACTTTAGTGTTAGGAATTCAAAGTTGTATGCCTAACACGAACGTGTCCCTCTGCCCCGCAGACTCCTGCGCCAATGACCCCTCCTCCTTTGCCGGCACCAACAGATTGGGGGGGACAACACCTAATGCTCATGCGTGGCATGCACGTATTAAGCCATCCCCAAAGGTGAAGAGTCACGTAAAACCTATGAGGTTTTACTTGACGCTGGATGTCTTAATGCAAAGAGTGAGGACGTCCAGTAAAAGTCTGTGAAAGTACAGGTAACGCCTCTTATGGCTGTCTATAACCGCAATGTTTTTTCCATTGCAGAGGTAAGGGAGGCAGGGACATTACACCCAGACCACTTCAATGACATAAAGTGGTCTTGATGTCTATAGTAGGCTTTCATTTTTTTTTCCCTTCATATCTTATCAACTGAAACCCAAATTTCCTTCCTCAAAGATGGCTGTTTTAAATGGATTAAAGTGGCAGCATACTGAGCTGACCATCCTTAAATGATGGGCATGTTGCATAGTACTTGTACAGCCATAGCAGTCATCTTTGTATTTTTTATTCTGGAGTGGATTTCAGGGCCTCAGCACGGGAAGTGTAGCTCTGAAGCTATTTATTAAATGAGAGATATATATATATATATATATATATATATATATATATATATATATATATATATATAATCTATCACAAGATCCAGCGCACTCACCTATCCACTAAACAGCAACTTCAACGTTGAAAGATTTTATTAGTTTTTTTTTAAAAAAAACACCTAATCTAGGCAAAAATAATGGGGGTTTAGTTACATTATATGATCATACATTGCATAAGCCTGCCACAACGTCAATGTACCCCATCTTTGGCAGGTACTACACTAACAGCCTAATGTCTGCTCTTATGAGATTAACCACTTACTTGAGGAAAAAAATTCCATCTGGGGCTCTCTGCAGTACAAGGCTAAATAGGGCCCTGGGATGAGGCACCTGTGACAGGGAGGGGTGCAAAACCAAGGAGTTGGCTAGACTCCCAAATATATATAAATGAAACAAGGGGGGGTTGGCTGCACTCACCTGAACATGCATAAATGGGGGTGCTGTTGGGAGCCAAATAATACAAAACACAAGATCCAGCGCAGATATATATATCTCATACTCTGTTTGGATAGTGCAAAGTACAGGTTGCATTAGCAACACTAATGAAAGAATCTTTTTGAGGTTCCGAAGGGCAGAACATCTGCAGCAATATATTGCTGTATATTTTAACCATATAGTTTAGATGACTCTCCATAATTAATACAAGTCTGGAAGTGCTGTCTTGAAATACTACTGGCAGGTGAGTTTTCATATTACTTGGAGGTAACAAAGCTTACTTGGTTTTTCTGGCCTTTCTCAAAAAGAAAATCATTTGATTACAAGATTAAGCAAAACGTTTACATGAATACTAATTATTACTGAACCTGTCCAAGTCTTGCTTTCTTGATTGTAACACCTTTTATTTTTTTTATTTTATTAGGCGCTCTGCACAGATTACATACCTCTACACAAGTACCTAGAAGAAAAGGAGAAGAAATATTGGTAGCTGAAACTTGTGACCTAGAATTGTCCCCACTTGCAAGTAAGTGGATGGCAGCTGTAACGATGCATGGTATATATGCTAATCTGGTATTTAATATTCTGCCCATTATGAAACGAAAGCTTCAATTGATGTCATATACCCTTTCAAAAAGCAAGATTCAGACTTCAGGGATGACATTGCAATCAACCATAAGTGGTAGTAAGTGATGCCAGAACTCCCGTCTACACAGAGACTCCTTGCCACTAGTATACTGAAAAGCAAAAACTAAATTATCAGTGTGGAGAATTGCCCTTTAACATATGCACTACCCCAGTATGGACTATGCTGCTGTGGATTTATAAGGCTTAGTGAAACTATATGGGAAAGAAAGCATGACTAGTATAGAATACTGGTTTTCACACCAGTATTTGTGCTTGTTAAAAGTAACTATAATATCTCTTCATACTGCTCAGTTGGGGATGCACAATGACTGTCCGGAAGCTGCTACCTTAAAGGATAGCAGCATTTTGACTGGTCTCTTATTCACCTGATTTAAATGTTGTTGTTTTTTCAGGATTTTTGCCTTGTTGTTTTAACAGATAAACCTGAGATGGGTGACTTTCCAGCAGAGAAACCACTATTCAACCTGGCAGCTGTTGTTGCAGAAACACTAGGACTTGACACTCATGAAGATCCTGTGAGTTGAAATAAACTATACTGAATTCATGTTAAACCTCTCTGGAACCCACTTGCATATATGTCACAAAAATCCTGTTAAAGGATCACTATAGCTATAGGAATAGAAGGCCTCCCTTGGGCGGCCCACCTCCCAATTAAGGGTAAAATAAATCCTGTAAAACACCTGATTCTAAAACACTTACCTGATTCTAAAACACTTACCTGATTTTCAAAATTAGAAAAAAGAGTTCCAAAGCTAATCGCTTACTGGTACCGGGTGTTTGTAAATTGCACATACAGTTTCCATCATAAAGTGTCCACGTCTTATTCTGCACGTACAGTCAATGCAGGGACCTCTACGGAGGACAGCTCCAATTTTCAAAAATAAATAAATAAAATAGTACATAGCAAATGTTATTGGGGATCCAAACAATGCTATTTTAAAAAAATGTTTCTTTACATACTAGGCAACCATAGTAATGTTAATTATTTGACAAAATATTTTGCGTGATTAATGACTAGTTGTTTTAATGCATGTAGAACATCACTTGTTTTTAGGACATATTAATGAGTCTAAATTCTGTCTTTTTTGTTTTTTGTTTTGTTTGTAACTCTGTTCAGTCCCAGAGTGTGTTAAATCATGACAGGACCAGTGCTATGCCAGCACAGGAGCACTCTCCAAGACCGATTGAACTTGAGTAAGTTTAACACACTATTGGTACCTACATACTTATTAATGATTATTAATTACACAGGCCAATTAATAGGACCTAATATGTTCCTTCCTATAACAAATTTTTCTTTATTATATGATTTGGGCTCAGATACAACAAAAGGCTAATTATAACAGATCAAAGTAGCCAATCTTACCCCCCACACCCATTTTATTGCTGTGATGTTGCCTAAAAAGTGAGAAACTTTGCTGCGCTGGCTTTCCTTGAATACTCATTACTACTGGGTAGGGAGAAAAAATTTTTTAAATAAATAATTAAACTAACATAAGTTATACTGATAGATAAACAAAGAATAATATCATGACTTAAGCACTTTTCATCAAAATTCAATTACCCTTGTCCTATATATAAGATAAACATATATTATGCAGAATCACATCTACACTTACATGACCTCTACTAAAAGCACATATAAGAAAAATATAACTAATCTTGACACAGTGTGACTCACTCAACAATTGTTAAATAAGTGTTCTTCAAAATATTGTCTGGAGATTCTTAACTGGCAGAAAAACGAAGAGGAAGGAGGCTCTTAGTCCAGATGAATGAGTAATTAATACATAACTTTTAATATTATGGAGAATGAAAAAGGTATACAAGGTTGTTGTATGACCACTAGGTGGAGAGAGGACTTAACCACACTAGGAAATAAAATCGAAATACAAACTAAGTGATACATTTTCAATATATACAGTGCTACAAAAGGGAAAAATACAAAATATGTACAGATACTAAAGTTTAGTCTGGGGTGTCAGTCCCCTAGTCGAAAACAGAGCTCAATGGCAACAATGTGGAGAATAGTATCCTTTGGACTATCAGAGAAAAATGTAGCTAATATTGAAGGTATATAACATAGTGTACTATGAAAACAGTTTGTTTCTGTTTTAACCGCTTCTAAGAGTGTGAGGAGTGAAGTCCAAAAAGGACTGTTAGTAAAGAGTAAATAGAAGTAGTTATGGTAATTGTGATAAAAATGGCATGCTGAATAATCACAAAGCTAATCTGTGCCTTCGTGGGCACCGGTACTTTTATCATAAGGCTAGGTCTAGCTGTCTCTAGTTGGCCGCACCGATTATCAGAATACCAGAGTTAATTGTGTAATAAACAAGGTGGAAAGTAATTCTGCTCACAAAAGGCTAACTGATCTGTGCCTTCAATGGCACCTATATTTAGTGATAGATAGTGTTTATTCATCTAATTCTGCTGAAAAGGTTTACTAAGCTATTCCTTCAAGGTCACGTATTGTCACGGCACAGCCCGAACCCTGCAGACCACAAGGCATGACTGCCGCTTTAAGAGACCTGGCTGTTTTTGAACTCACAGCTCCAGCATCCCAGTCAGGTTCTCTGCCATGATATCCACCAGGGGGCTTCAGTTTGCATTATTCTGCTTCCTGACCCCTTGCCTGGAATGAGCAGTACTGATCCACCTGCTACCCTTTTCCAATTAGGGTCAGCTGCATCTAATTAGCAAGCTGTAAAAGCCAGCCCTGCCTGCCAGCCCTGCCTGAAAAATAGGTTCCATCAGTCAGTATGTAGCAGAACACCAAAAGATCTAACCACCTCTTAACTGGCACCTTCCTACCCTTATGGATGGCACCTTTATCCAGTTCTGCTTAGGTCATTGTTTATTCCAGTACAATGTGTACATAAAATAAGGAGGACTGTAGATAAAAGGTGCCTGCAATACCATAACTTTGTACATAAAACCTTTTGGGAAGACAGATGTGTTTTCTGAAAGCTTCAACCTCGGCTGTCTGTACAACAATATTATTTGGATTTCTACCAGTTTCACACAGTGAGCATTCTTATCTATACAATCAGAATCTACTAAATTTCTGGGTATGTGGACCCTGTCCTCTCCTCCTAAGATAGTGCAACTGCAATGTAAAGTAGCACCCCAGGTATTGAAATTTCCTTTTAGAAAAAGACCATGCCTCATCCACTAAATGTAACTGATAACTGTGCAGATTAGTACATTACAACTTGCAAACTCACATGAATTGGAATCCGTAGGCTCTAGGTGGACTTGTTGTGGTGTCATTTGAATAGGTGACACACAACCTTCTCACAAGACTGATGACTGCTAAACCCCAAAGTAACTTAAAGGACCACTATAGGCACCCAGACCAAATTAAGTGGTCTGGGTGCCAGGTCCATCTAGGATTAACCCTTTCTGCTGTAAACCTAGCAGTTTCAGAGAAACTGCTATGTTTACAAATGGGTTAATCCAGCCTCTAGTGGCTGTCTCATTGACAGCCGCTAGAGGCGCTTCCGCGCTTCTCACTGTGATTTTCATGCGCATTCAGCTGATGGGGAAAGGAGGAAGAGAGTCCCCAGTGCCGAGGGAGCCCAGCGCTGGAAAAAAGGTAAGGGATTAACCCCTTCCTCACCCTAGAGCCCGGCGGGAGGGGGGCCCAGAGGGTGAGGGGAACCCAAGGAACCTATAGAGCCAGGAAAAAGTGTGTTTTCCTGGCACTATAGTGGTCCTTTAAAATTCAGTATTTATTACACTTTGCACTATTTTGTCTTACAATATTATTGACACCTTTTCTTTCTTTCTTCCTTCCTCTTATTTTAAGTATGAAATGTACACGTGCATTTAAATTATTCCGTATACTAGTGTCTTATTGCACATACTGGTCTATATGTTTATTAATCTCCAAGCAATTTTTTGGGGGCCCACCACTCTAGCTTTACAAGGATATTGCAACCACCATGCTTACATTTTACATTATAATATATGTATGCCATTCTTGAGTTTTCCACTCTGGATCAGATTTTGCATCAGTTAGTTAATTGTTGGTTTCATTTTGTGCCATATGTTGTTTTTTGTTTTTATTATATATAATTTTGTGTAACCTTGCATGTGTGGTTCTTTCCTTCAGATATACAGAGCATTCTCAGGCTGATGAACATGAAATGGAATGGGGAACGCAGCAACATTCTCCAGAATTTGGGGCAACCCCTGCAAGAATTGAGAACCGCACAGAAACCGACACAAATTCTACATTTCTCCTTCTTGGTACAAAGAATAAGCTAAAGTTTCCATATTACAGCAGAACATCTGACTCCTCAGGACAAAAATCAAGGGCAGATGATTTCACCTCGATGGCGCCTGTGTGCCATGCTACAGAAAATGATTCTGTAATTAGCCACTGTTCAGGCAGCAGGCAGGTTGCCTTGAAACGCAATCCAACTGATTCCATTATTGGTGTTATCAGCACAAATGATGGTGTGATTGCAAAGGACAATTTTGACCGTGAACTTTATATTCAGAATGGAAACCGATGTTCTAAAAGGAGGAAAGCTGAAAATGATGTCAGATGTGACATGTCAGCCAATAAGGAAAATAATGGACGTTGTAAAAGTACCGCTGTGGACAAACCTCTGGATCTGTCAGATCGTTTCTCGGGGTTGCACTCTCAGGAAGGTGGTCAAGACAACGTTGGTACCAATACAATGCAATTTAATTCACAGGAATCCTTAAAGTTGGGATCCAAAAAGCATTCTAGCGTCAGGAGTTTTCTCGGTAACTCAGTAATACACCCAAGCATGAGAGCGGACCCTCATCAGCAAGAGCCACAAAGGAAGACTCTTGGTTCAAGTAAAGGAGACCTATGTCAGGAAAGTAAGGAAGAGACTGATGATAACCCACTTTTTGAAGACTTGGAGGTAGACTTTTCTGTACTTGTTAACTGTGTGCATGAACATTTAATTTTAGAGCACAAAATGTGTTGATACCCAATATATATAATATTCATTGGTTTCTCCTCTCCCCCTGACTAAATCTATACTGAACATTGCCGGAACTCTTTGAATTTCTAATACACTTCCTTTGATTGCATGGAAACAAATGCATTGCTAATTGCATTGTTACCCTCCCAGTTTTCGGGTACACCATAACCTCTCATTCTAAAAATAATATAAAATGAGGCTTCAGTAATTTTTGTAGGCTTCTGCTTAAGATTTTCTACCACAGACCTCAACTTAATATTTTTGGATAAGATTTTCAAATGATTTAATATTTTCGGATAGGGATCGACCGATATTGATTTTTTTAAGAGCAGATACCGATAATTTGTGAACTTTCAAGCCGCTTACCGATATTCTGTACATTTACCATTTAAAAAAAAAAGAAATTATTTCTACACAAATCTACTGTTAACTGAACATGTTAATTTATTTTTTTGCAAATCTTTTTTTATTAAGGTAAATGCACATAATATACACGCCAGTCAGAATTGTTTGTTTTCAAGAACATATGGGTATGTAGTAGATGCAGTGAGAGTATTTGATTAGTGAATGCAGTGTGTGTGTGTGTGTGTGTGTGTGTGTGTGTGTGTGTGTGTGTGTGTGTGTATAGTGAGGGCATTTGTATTTATTTTTTACTTACATTTTTTTAAAATATTTTTACATCTTGTTTTAGTCCCCCCTCACTGCTTCTGACCGGGTCAGGGAGGGGGGATATGGCATTCCCTGGGGCGCCCAGCACACTCTTACTTGTCTTCCCAGCCGCTCCCTTCAGCTCCTCTGTCTAACTCTCTCGTGGCCTGTGTGCCATGTGGATCGTTGCCATAGTAACCCGTGGCAACGCTCTGACAGTCGTGGGACTTGCGATAGTTAGTTAGACGGGGAGCTGCTGGGAAGAAAAATAAGTGTGCTGGGCCCCCCAGGACCCTGATGGCAGCCCTGGTCGGCAATATTGGTATCTTTTATTTACTGATATTACTGAAAATACAGAATCTCGGCTGATAATAATCGGCCAGACTTTTGAAAATGATAGAGATATATATATATATATATATATATATATATATATATATATATATATATATATAAATAATTTATTAAATCATTTTAAGTATTTTCAAAAGCTTATCCAAAAATTAAAACAAAGCCATAATTCTTGTCTTAAGCCAATAGTGTCTAACTTCTGCACTTTGGATTTAAAAAAAGACTATTTGAACATCATGTCAGATTTAGTTAGCACACATTTGAGATTAGACATCACAGCAGTAAAGTCACTCCAATATTTTCGCTTGCTAATTTTTTTTTTTTATCTGCTTCCAGCACATAAAATGCAAAAACTGACTGTTCACTGCCTAATATATCCCACCCTTGACAATTGCCATTGTAACAATATAATCAATGTTATTCACTTCAACAGTCAGTAGTTTTAATGTCTTTGCTGATCAATCTACAGTTGAGCAGTTCTAAAAAGTTTAATATCAGCACCAGCACGTTAGACATTTATTCAGTGACCTCTTCAACAAAGCAGTGGAGTTCAACATGGCCCCCAAGCCATCAATTTGCGCTAATTAACCCCAGCCATTATTCCAAGCCATACATCTACGCCCATTAGCCCTAGCCTTACATCCACATCCATTAGCCCAGGGCATCCATAATACTGATTAGTCCCAGGTAACCTTCAACACCCATTAATCTCAGACACCCATCAAACCCAGCCATCCAACATAAGTTTCAAAATGTCTGGCAGACTTTATCTACCAGTGCCTCCAACTCAGCTTCATTGAATTTATCCTTTGTTTAATTGCTACTCCCAATATTGCAATAGCAGGCCGCCATTCTTTTCATATAGGAGTTAATTGCTGATCGGCTTTTTAAAACAGTTGCCAATATGCACACTCATTTTTGAGCAGTAAGCAAGCCAACAACATGGACAGGTCATGCAAAAATGTATTTACTGCAAGATGTAAACTGCCAAATATACCCCATGCAATTAAAAAAGAAGGCGAAACAGAAATGGATATAATTATGGCTGAAAGCTTCAACTAGAAGTTGTTAGTTTTAATTCATCATTTAAAAAAAATGCAAATCTAACCCTCAAAGATAATTTTGTGTCTTTTATTAAAATATAGTAATTGTGTTATGTAATCCTAAACCTACAACTTCATTTTGCATAGGTTTCCACCTGGGGATGTGAATAAATAAGAATTGGAAAACCAACCTAGTTATGTCACAAATTATTACTGAATGAAAGTAAAATCAGTAGTCTGATTTAAGTGCCAATCAAACTATTATCTGTACAAGAAATTAATTCCAATAATAAAAATAACCAACAATTGTGTTCGGACTGTAACTTGCATATTACATGCGTTCTTTACCCAGTGCTTAAGAAATTGTTGGTTCTCAAAATCTGTAAGCTTTTAATTTTAATCCCTTAACAACGTTAGGGCATTCTACATAAAGTGAGCTTTAAAGCCTGTGAGGCAGCAGAGAATGCCATCTGTATTTGGTTACATCCCTCTTTACACCAGTGTGTATATATCTATCTCATTCAACAGGGTTCTTTGAGGTGTGTGTATGTATGTGTGTATGTATGTGTGTGTGTGTGTGTGTGTGTGTGTATGTATATGTGTGTGTGTGTATGTATGTGTGTGTGTATGTGTATATGTATATATATATATATATATATATATATATATATATATATATATATATATATATATATATATATATATATATATATATATATATACACACACATATAATAGTGATCCTTGTTTGCAGATAGCACGGTCCTCTAGGGTAAACAGGCACAGTCCTTTTATTTGCATATAATCCAGGCACTTTATTTGTAAGTCCACACAGGAGACCGCAGCAAATGAAAACATAACTATAATACAAATCCCTATAAACAAAAACCTAGCTCGTCTGAGCACTTACTAACTTCAGGTTCCCTATCTCTCAGAGCTTAAACTAGAAAAAACAATATTGGTTTCACCAACCTAGTGTCTTTGTCAGCTCTCTGCACTCCAGTGCTTAGTCAGCCTGTGGCTTTCCTTTCTGCACTCCCAGTGCTCCAAGCCAGCCTTAACTGCTTTCCTTTCTGCACTCCCAGTGCTCCAAGCCAGCCTTGACTGCTTCCTTCTGCACTCCCAGTGCTCCAAGCCAGCCTTAACTGCTTTCCTTCTCAATCTCCTTGACTCTCTCACTGGAGAGAACAGCCTCTCTCCTACCTGCTTCCAGGGAGGAAGCCAGCAATCCCTCTTTACCTGCCTAGCAGGGAGGGGTTTATTCCAACTGCTACAGCTGATTATCTGCAGCTGAGCAGTGGGTTGAAGACCGTTTCAAAAAACTCTTGCCTGGACCTTATTTCTCCCAGTTGTGTATAAACTGAGGAGTGGAGCATTGGCCCACCCTGCTCTCCAAATGCTCCACCCCAGGGGCCCATAACTAAATGTAGCTTTGTGTTTCACACCACACATAAAACACGTACTTCCCCTGGGATTAAATGTTAAAGGCCTCTATGCCTTCACTTTATCACTATATATATATATATATACACACACACACACACTGTAGGATGATATATAATATCTATGGGGGCACTTGAAGAGAAACCCTTAAGTAACAGTTGAAAAACTTGTAGCTGAAATTCAAGTTTTTATTTTAGTTCAGAGTGTGGAAAATTTCCTCCTTCCTTCAGGGGTTAATAAAGCAAACAGTATTTTCAGGATCCTATAATCTGTAATATTAGTCACATGACTATAATGTCCGTAACATTTTTCAGGCCAGAAGCCCCCACAAACCAAGAAGAAAAGGGAAATTACTGCACAGAGCCTGTGAGCCAGCATCTGTTCTTCAACCGAATCCACACTTGGCACAGGCAAAAGGCGCTGCCGTGAATACCGAGACAGGTAAAATATGAAGGTGTTCAAGGAAATTATTTTCTGTTATGCTGTGCTAAAAATTTATCATTCAAACATATTTTAATGTACAATTCTGTACAACCCTTTGTAAGGTCACAATACACAACACATTGAATGGGGAAATGATTGGCAAAATGCATACATAAAAATCACATTAAGGGGGTGGAGCCAAGCTACTGAACAGACCAGACGTGTGTTGCGAGAGTTCCGCGTCTGGCACCTTAAAATCGACTGAAACACAGAGCCTCAACTTACCTGGACGCAAAGTAACACTAAGTGTGTTACTCTAACGCTGGTGGTTCCGGGGATACCTTTTGTGGGCTTCTCCACCACCGAGAACCCTGACTTGTGGCTTTGCGGCCTACCAGCGACCGGGCTAAGGAGAGACAGCCGCTCTCCTACTGCTCAGACTGGCATAGAGAAAACTGAATGTTACGGCATCTTGTTCTCTGGAGGTTGATTTGGCAGCGTTTTCTGATCGAGTTATCTCTGATACAGCCGTTTAGGTGGGATCTCCATTGTTTTAGTTAACAACCCTCTGCCAGGGGTCTGTGGATAAATATGTAAATTTAAACCAAATAAAGTCTCTTTTGTTTTCACCCTTCATCAAGTCGAGGCTGATATTTGAGTGTGTGTGTAAATGTGCAGGTGATTCACCAAAATGAGAGAATTTGGAGTGTATTACTAGGCATATTGGTAAAATGTATTGTGTATTGTGAAATCTAAGGCTTAACTTTTATTTATACATGGGGAATGTAACGGATCGCCTGGCACCCCGACTGGGTACCTCCGTTGAAGGATGCTCCTAGCGTTTCCTGAGGACTCCAAGCACTCTGGCAGACACCACAATCACCGAACCGGAAAAGCGTATTCCTTCTCTCAAGCATATGAATGCTGTAGACAGTTGAATAGGAACCATACGAATAGGTTTACTCTCCTAGCAGTCAAACTGGAACAGCATATAATAAATCCTTCCCCCAATAATGAGACGACACTTCACTTTGAGGGTTAAAACAGGAACTCACTGTAATGGCCACACACTGGCTTTTATGCAAGTCCCCATGCAAGGGGACATCCCACAGGGTGGGACACAGTACAACCAATCGTTACAGGGGAACCATAAAACACACCCACATTTACATCACAATCCCTCCTCTCTGTCCAGGAGATAAGTGTGAAGTAATCCAATTATCTCCCAGGACAGAGGCAAGACTCCATTAACCACATGGCAGTAACAATACAATAAAAGACATAAAATTACATACAGTTACATTTATTCCATAAAACATAGACATTCTACATATTCCCAGATAGCTTAGATCTGAGTGCACATTACTACCGAATGGCGCTCAGATCACATAAATACAGTTCAATCGCCATGGAGCCAAAGTCTTTCATACAGTCTTTCAGTATACGGCTGGGCTCCATGGCATAGCTATCTGGGGTAGCATGGCTTTAACAGTCTACAGAAAGGCATGAATACGCTTTGCAGGGAAAATAAAAGGTTTTAACTGCCGGGCCATAGTCTAAAGGGAGCAGGCGAGCAACCAGGCTCCTCCAGTGGACAGTGGCGAGGCTGGTTTCGCCACATTTCTCCCCTTTACCATCCAGACTAACAGGGTATCTGACCTCCTGTCGGTCAGTGCCCTGGTTAGTCCAGCAACCCACCCACGAAGCACAAACAGCAGTACCTCCCACCCACAATAAATGTTTACCCCACCTGGATAAAGTAGCAGCTTGTCCAGGTCCAGGTTCCTCACCACGGCTGTGCGGGGAGCTGGTAGACTGCCTTGGTGGGTTGCTGAGTGGGCAGAGACCAGCGGTACTCTGCCCTGGTGCCAGCGCTACCACTGAAGTAGCCTGGTTGGAGCCTGGTTGTGGGAGGGGGAGACCGACCGTCTCCCCTCTGGGTACATAGCTCTGGGGCTGGGGGACAGGACCGACCGTCCCTACCTCTTGAGCTGCAAGTGCAAAGACTACGGTCCCATCTGCACTGTTGGGAGGTGTAACATCTCCCCTTGGTGGGTTAGGCTGCCGCTGGAGAGAGGGTGTAACAAGCTCCTCTCTCTGAACTGTAACCTGCCGCTGGGGAGAGGGGGTAGCAGGCTCCTCTCCCTGACACTCTCTCTGCTGGTGGTGAGGGGGACCAGCTGTCTCCCCTTTCAATATTTTGTCCTGCTGCTGGGGTGCGAGACTGACGGTCTCTGCTCCCTGCAGGACACTCTGCCGCTGGGGAGGAAGGACGACACCTTCAGCTCCCTGGGATACAATCTGCCACTGGGGAGGAAGGATGACACCTTCAGCTCCCTGGGACTCACTTGACCGCTGGGGAGAGGGACCAACTGTCTCCTCTCCTAAGAACACACACTGCCGCTGGGGAGGAAGGACGACACCTTCAGCTCCCTGGGATACACACTGCTGCTGGGGAGGAAGGACTGCACCTTCAGCTCCCTGGGATACACACTGCCGCTGGGGAGGAAGGACTGCACCTTCAGCTCCCTGGGATACACACTGCCGCTGGGGAGGAAGGACTGCACCTTCAGCTCCCTGGGATACACACTGCCGCTGGGGAGGAAGGACTGCACCTTCAGCTCCCTGGGATACACACTGCCGCTGGGGAGGAAGGACTGCACCTTCAGCTCCCTGGGACTTACTCTGCCGCTGGGGAGGAAGGACGACACCTTCAGCTCCCTGGGGTACACCTTTGAGTCCCCGTAACGCACTCTGCCACCGGATAGGGCGGCCGATACCTTTGGCTGGATCTGCCATGAACTGCAGGTACTCGTCTACCTGGCTCCTTACGAGCTGCACGTATTTCTCCGGGGGGTTGGGTCCAAAGAAAGCCAGCCGCATGGTAAACTCTCTGTCATACTGCTCCTGAGTGTAGCTGGGTGCCATGCTTGCGCTGCTGAAGTTGGTTCTTTTGTAGATAGGGTCGCTGTACGGGTACTGGCGTTGCCCTCAATTTGTAATCCAGGAACTGGTGTTGTATTATAGCTGTCCTTCTGGGCTGTGGAAATGATCCCGTCGCTTGCCACCAATGTAACGGATCACCTGGCACCCGACTGGGTACCTCCGTTGAAGGATGCTCCTAGCGCTTCCTGAGGACTCCAAGCACTCTGGCAGACACCACAATCACCGAACCGGAGAAACAAATAAATTCTCCCAAGCATATGAATGCTGTAGACAGTTGAATAGGAACCATACGAATAGGTTTACTCTCCTAGCAGTCAAACTGGAACAGCATACAATAAATCCTTCCCCCAATAATGAGACGACACTTCACTTTGAGGGTTAAAACAGGAACTCACTGTAATGGCCACACACTGGCTTTTATGCAAGTCCCCATGCAAGGGGACATCCCACAGGGTGGGACACAGTACAACCAATCGTTACAGGGGAACCATAAAACACACCCACATTTACATCACAATCCCTCCTCTCTGTCCAGGAGATAAGTGTGAAGTAATCCAATTATCTCCCAGGACAGAGGCAAGACTCCATTAACCACATGGCAGTAACAATACAATAAAAGACATAAAATTACATACAGTTACATTTATTCCATAAAACATAGACATTCTACATATTCCCAGATAGCTTAGATCTGAGTGCACATTACTACCGAATGGCGCTCAGATCACATAAATACAGTTCAATCGCCATGGAGCCAAAGTCTTTCATACAGTCTTTCAGTATACGGCTGGGCTCCATGGCATAGCTATCTGGGGTAGCATGGCTTTAACAGTCTACAGAAAGGCATGAATACGCTTTGCAGGGAAAATAAAAGGTTTTAACTGCCGGGCCATAGTCTAAAGGGAGCAGGCGAGCAACCAGGCTCCTCCAGTGGACAGTGGCGAGGCTGGTTTTGCCACAGGGAAAAATAGCATATTAGCTTAGTAATGATGCATGTACACACAATTATAAATACTCTGTGAAAACCGGAGCCAAAAGAGAGAAGAAATAATACTGTGGGGGAAAAAAAGTGCAATAAAAAAAATTCTGTTGGCACTAATTATCAAAACTCCCAAGTATAACTAGATGTAAGAAATAGCAGTCCCAAGTTTCTAAATGATATGGTTAGTAGAATAAATTGTAGATATTTAGTCTGTGCCTTTGGGAGCACCTATTACTAATAAAGAAACTTTCCATCTATCTATAGTTGTAGCGACTCCTTATACCAGTATAGTCCACATCCTTCCACACTACTAATTAAAATGCTAGAAATCGAAATAAAGCGGATCCTATCTAAATAGATTGAATATAAATAGGTGCTGCTGGCTCTCCAGCAGCCCGCACAATACACCTACTTATCTCCTTACCCAAAGCCCATCCAACTCCACACCTGCCCAATCTTAATCCTGAGGCTGAATGGAGTCTATCAATGCCATTCTTCCAGGCTCCGAAACAGCCCAGACAGCGGCACAAGACTGGCCTTCCACGCATCACCGCTGCTCAGCCTCGAGGCCTTGCTCGGCGGACCGGGTGAGTTGCGAACACCCACAGCGAAACATGCCTAACACCTTCTCCGGCACACCAACAATGAGCAAACGCACACAGAAAACTGCCACTACCACACCCGGATGGGACATGAGGAGATGCTTAAGAGGCCAGCACAACTTGAGCCTACACGGGCAGAGCACCCAACGGACCCCATTTCCTCCAGGGGCCCGTACTACAAGGGACCAAGTATCTCAGAGACCACCCAAGCAGACCTAATCTTACCTTCCCACTCCCCTGACAACTCCGATCCGACCACCAAGTGAGATCTAAAGATCCTACTTGCCGATATAAACAAACTACTGGCAGCTGATGTCACTAAGATTAATAGGGACATACAACAAGTGACAGAACGAGTCAAACGAGCAGAAGAACACACTGATGTTCAAACGACCATTACCACCCTCCAGGACTCGGTGATGCACCTCAAGCTGAACAACACGTGTTAGCCGCCCAAATGATGTCCCTAGAGGACATCGCAGAACACACTTTAAAATACGGGGATTACCCGCCACAGTCTCAACTGAATAATTGCAGCACTATACTAGGCGCTTGCTATCTACAATCTTGTCACATGCAACAGTCAAAAAAAATTGTTCTGGATGGGATTTATCGCATAACCAGCACAGGGGGCACTCAAACCACAGTGGCGAGAGATATCCTACTACGCTACGTGACTGCGCTCGACAAGATACAAATCACGATGGCCCTGAAGGGCAAAACACAAGTGGCTTTTGAAAACTCCCAGCTAACGTTCTTTCAAAACCTCACCAGAGCCACCTTAATTCGTGTGTTTTAACTGTTACTTGGTTGGACCTACTATACAGTTGTTTCCTATGTATGAACAAACTTGAAGCATTGTCTAAGTTTGTTATACCTGATACTTTTTCCAATCACTACAAGCACAGAAAATAAAGAATAAAAAAAAAAAAAAGTGATGCTTCTTCCTGCAGCCTTCTAGTGACTATTTGAGGATAACACTGAGCCCCTGATGCGTGCGTTTCGCCACCAGGCTCATCAGAGGGGGAGCTGGCTTTTGTACATGGCCGGTATAAGTAGGAGGGAAATGTTCCTGATTGGTCCAATATTTCGAATTGCTAGTATTTGAATTAATGGTGTGGAAGGATGCGATCTATATTGGTATTAGTCGCCGCTACATATATAGATAGGTGCCCTGGAAGTCACAGAAAGGAGAAGTGTATGTATGTGTCAGTGAGTGTATCTAAGTGTGTGTGTATCTCTGTGTCAGTGTCCATATCTGTGTGTCATTGAGTGTATCTATGTGTCAAGGTGTCTGCATGTATGAGTGTAAATAGTTGTAATATGTAAATAGTCGTGTTCTGTCATAATAAAATATCATGCCCTTGTTTGTGCATGTTTGGCAGTGTGTATGTGTGCATTTTGTGGCGCGCATGTGTGTGGGGGTGCACGCATGGAGGGTGCAGTTGCTGGTGAAGCCACCTCCCTGAAATGAGCTTTTGCATGTTGGGATGTCTACTCATGCAATGCGCAGTACAGTGACGGAGACCCTGATCTGCCCATTTTGTCTGTCAGTTTTGGTTGCATTGTTCTATGGAGTGTACCTTGAACTTTAATACCGCTCCCTTCTATTTTGTCAAGGGTTAAAAAAAAAAAAAAAAACGATTTAACTTTCCTCTGTTTAGCTGTAATCCTCCTCATGTGAAGTCATCATTACTGATGACTTGTGTCTATTTAGATGCGTCTCATAGAAAACCATTCGGACACAGACAATCTTCTCATAGGGAAGTATGGAAACTAATGATTCTCTATAAGAGATACTCACTCCCACTTTGAACCATAGTTCAAAGACGAGTGAGGTCAGAAACCATCCTAGCTGTCTGGCAGCCAGGAGGTGTTACTAAAGGGATTCAAAAAAGTGCAGATTTCTCTGGAAATCTACACTTTTACCAAAAAAAAGTCTATGGAGACATGCAGCTAACCCTGAAGTTCTTTAGAGGACTTCTGTGTCCCTTGCAAAATAAATGATCATGTAATATATATATGTAATATATATATATATTCTCGTATAAATCATGTGATCGTTGTGTAAATGTTCCGTGACGGGAACAGCGTCTCTTCCCCCATGAGTATCTTGTTACGCTGAGCAGACTTTGATAAGGTTGAAGAGAAATGGCTGCATGTCAGCATTTTGGACTCATTCCACACTGCATGAACATTGCCCTATATCCTCTTTTACTCTGGGTTAACTCTTAGTTGTCAGAGATAGCTAGCGTATTGAGAGGTAATACTCCATGAAGCTATATGTTCAATTGCATCGTATGGGCTGGTTTGTCAGGGTTGTTTTGGGGTTTTTGGGGGATATGTGGTTGTCTTTCATTAATATGGTAATATTTTAAATGTTTTGATTATTTTATTTATTTTTTTAACTAAACTTTAAATCATAATGAAAAATTTAATTTAAAAATAGCATTTTAGGACACAGTACAAAAATAGGAATAGAACAAAATAGGAATATAGCTGCTTTGTTATGTATTTATTTATAATTTATTTTATAAAACCCTGTTTTGCTCTCAATTTTGAAATGTGATTCTCCAATCTCCTTAATTCAGTGCGTTGGATCTATTTAGAGGTGGAAAATGTCTAGTTATGTTACTAGATATAAATTAAGGAAATAATGTATAATGCGCTTTGGTTACTATTTTGTAGGCACCCAGTCTTTGGATAACATGCCATGGAGCATTGATCCAGGGGCAGATCTTTCTCAGTACAAAATGGATGTTACAATGATAGACACCAAGGTAATAACATAATTTATAAGACAATCTTACTAAAATAATAGCATTGTCAGGTGTATAGATGACTTTCAGGTTGTGTCATTTACTTTATATTTTTATTTATTTTTCAGTATGAGAGTACGGCAAAGGCAGATCCAGAGGATATGGACTATACCTATGTCAGTGACAGTATTTTGTTAAAGATGAGAAAACAAGAGCTAGCTAAAAGTGACTCTCAGGGTAAGAACACCACACTTGATTAATTTCTTAACAACTCGGAGTTAGGTTGATGACTGGCATGTCACATTTAACAGGTTATATGGCTGATGCCATGACTGCAATTATTTCAAGAGCAGGCAAATCTTTAAGTTAATAATAAAAAAAAAGAGTTGCTTTAATTTTGGAAATGGTTGACTTAAAGATTAAATGTTGCTGCAAACTGGAAGATCCAGACATGAACACATATAGTCAAGTCCAAAGTGGCAAATTTTGTCTCGGGTGTAAACCATGGAAAAGTCATGCAAATCTCACATGCATCTATACAGCCATAGCCACACTTCCCTTTTACCTCCTTAAAAAAAATCAGGCTACATTTTATAGCTTCCCTTATTGCACAGTGTAATTTTGAATTGCTAATTTTCTGCTCTGTTAATAGCATGCTAGAGCCTGCAACAGCCTCACATGTATGGTTAACGTTCAAGTAGCAGGAGACAGAATTCTAAAGTAAATACACTGCGCTGTAATTACTGAAAATGAAACCATTTTCATAGAGGATGTGTCTGTCACAGCCAGGAGAGGTATGGCTTGTTCTGCACAAAAAAAGTAATTTTACTTCTAAATGTCAGAGAATTGAGCAGGGGCATGATCTATACACCAAATTTGCTTTATTAAGCTATGGTTGTTTTGGTGTTTAGAGGCCTTTAAAGCAAGTGCATTTTATTTTTACTCTTCATTAAGCTTTAGATTTAGCAAATTCATTTTTTCGCCAACAGAAGAAAGCAAAGAGAATGACAGTTTTGGGGAAATGTTTGATAAGACCGAGCACGGGGAGTATATTTCCTATGTTCAAGAGAAGAGCCCTTCCCAGAGACTTGACAGTGAGGAAGAAGATGGTGGTGGAGATGTATCAAAGGAAAGAGGTGGGTATCCTATATTACAATAGATTAAAAGATTTAATAGGAACTACACTGTTTCTTATATAAATTGTTATGGAACAAGTTATTGTGTAGGCATCAGTATAGTTGCAAATTAAATAATCTAATTTATAACCATACATAAGGCTCATAAGCAGAACATAAAGCAATATACACGTATGAACTGATTTTGTAGATGCCTTAAAGAATATTTAAAATAAAGAGTTATTAACTAAATTGAGATTTCAAATTTAATATATAATTAAATCTGTATTCATAACATCTAATGCCCCTGCCCTACCGTTGCTGTGCTAAAAACATAAAGGAGAGAAAAAAGGTTTTACTGACCTTTTTCAGTGCCTAGGTCCATTGGCGTTGCCTTCCTCTACGCCTCCCAAGACATAGCTTCCTATGACATGGTCCAATCCAAAGCTTTCTAGGGAGGTTTCCGTGTCAGGTGTCTGAGTATTACTCGGTCAGTGCAGCGGAAGCGTCTCCACTGGCTCTCGATGAAACAGCCACTGGAGGTGTTTTAACCCTTCCAGGTAAACATTGCTGTTTGTGCAAAATAATGTAGAACTAAGTTACTCAAAGGGGTTTATCAGTTAAACAGGGTTGTAGACATAATCTCTAATTCAACAATTTTGGCAACAAATTTGCAGTGTAGTGCTCAATTCAATTTAGTGAATAATCCCAAAATGTTTGCTAAAGTGTCCTGTTTAATATACTGTTTTGAGTCTCTTATTGTTTTACATGATTGTATGTTGTGTTGATCTTCATTCTTGGGATCACTGTATTTGCAGAGAATGATGTTAAAGGGGAGGTCTACCAGAAGCAGAAGGCATTTGTTGAGCCTTATATGCAAAATGCTGACAGGTAAGAAGATCCCAGCAGGTAACACCCTACACACATCGTTACATAGCTGAAAAGAGACTTGTGTCCATCAAGTTCAACCTTCCCCACATCTTTTTTTTGCTGTTGATCCAAAAGAAGGCAAAAGACCCAGTCTGAAGCGCTTTCAATTTTACAACAAACTAGGAAAAAAAATCTTCTTGACCCCAAAATGGCAGTCTCATATCTCCTTGGATCAATTACCCCATTATTTAGAAATTATATTGCTGTATGCTATGCTTTTGGAAGTATTTATCCAATTGATGTTTAACCCCTTCCCACGTATGTCCGACAAAAAAAGTCCGCTAACGACCTCGGACGTACCTGGTAATAGTAAATCCCCACTTACTTGATCGCTGGCAATCGCGATCTGGCTCTTCCGGGCCAAGTGATCGCTGGGTCCTCGCAATCACATGGCCGGTATAGCCGGCTTGTGCAGTGCCTGCAGAGGGCCTGCCTGAGCTCTCTGGCTCTCCCCCTCATGCCTCGTGTATGTGTGTGTGTATGTATGTATGTATGTGTGTGTATATATACACACCAAAATGATGATGGCTGCACTCTGATGTGCACACCTGTGTTGAGTCTTTCTATTTTATCTATGATATATAAGTTGAATCATTATTTGTGTTGTAGTTTTTGTTTTTTCTGATCCTGAAGAAAGCCCAGATTGGGGCTGAAACGTTGATCATTTTTTTTAATGCATATTTAATAAAGCATTTTGCATTTTTTATACAAAGAAGACCAAAGAGTGCAGCCATCATCATTTTGGTTTCTATATCTACTTTGCCAGTTGGCTTATGCACCCGCCAATATTAAGGATTACGTGAGTGCAAGGAATCTTTTCTAGAGAGAGAGATATAGATAGAGAGATATATATAGATAGAGATATATATATATATATATATATATATATATATATATATATATATATATCACCACACTTAGTCTACCACACAATAATACTTCGACACACACACATTACAAGCATTTCAATATTGGACACACACACAGTTTATTTTCACACACACACACACATTACTATTACACCCATTAATAGGCATCTTCACACACACACACACACACACATTAGCGCATCTCTCATTGACACACACACACAGCAACAATGTCATTACCTCACCCACACAGCACCCGTACACACACATACACTTCAGTCTGTGTGTATGTATTCAGCAGTCTGTGTGTGTGTTCAGCTGACTGTGTGTGTGTGTGTTGACTGTGTGTGTGTGTTCAGCTGACTGTGTGTGTGTTCAGCTGACTGTGTGTGTTCAGCGGCTGTGTGTGTGTGTGTGTGTGTGTTCAGCTGACTGTGTGTGTGTGTGTGTGTGTGTTCAGCTGCCTGTGTGTGTGTGTGTGTGTTCAGCGGACTGTGTGTGTTCAGCGGACTGTGTATGGGTGTTCAGCGGGCTGTGTGTGTGTGTGTGTTCAGCGGGCTGTGTGTGTGTGTGTGTTCAGCGGGCTGTGTGTGTGTGTTCAGCGGACTGTGTGTGTGTGTGTGTGTGTATTGTTTGTATGTATGTATGTACTGCATTTGTTGGAGATGCTACTAAATATAAGCTTAATTTTATCTATTATTTATATAATGGTTTAAAATGTATCATTGAATTTGCTGTTGTGTTCTTTTAAAACAAAAGATGTTAATGAGTTCGGACAACTGTACGAGTTGTTTTTTTTCTAAACTTAACCTCAGTATTAAGGTTTAATTGCTGTGTTGGCACTTTGAGGAAAATTAAGTTGGCATTTATTGCGATTTGGGCACTCTGGCTCAAAAAAGTTTGCCATCAATGCCCTAGGGTGTCTACTTTTCAAACATATATTGTGTGATGGGGGTAAATTACGTTGGCCAGCTTCAAAAATGTCCCAAATAGGACATGGGTGCATGAAGACCAGCTGTGAAAATTCCATGTTGGAAAACTGGAACGTACACCCTCAAAATAAGGTCTTTTAGCCCCCAGAGAACCCGACACACCTATACATGGGTGGTATCTCTGTATTAGGGAGATGTTGCTGAACACATATTGGGGTCTTCTTTGGCAGTAACCCTTAAAGTTCTCAGTACATATATTCTTAAATTGTGTCAAAGTCACCAATTTTTTTTTTTTTTTTAAATTTGGCAAAGATTGGTGGTACAATGGTTGCATGAAAAGAGTCAAAATACCCCAAGTTTAATACCAAAGGTTGTCTTCTTTTAAAAAATATATAAATGTGAATGGATATTCAGGGATTTCTGACAGATATCAGTGTTACAATGTAACTTATTACGTTAATTAAAAAAAAAAAAAAATTGGTTTGAAAATAGCAAGGTGCTACTTGTACTTACTGCCCTATAACTTGCAAAAAAAGCTAAGATCATGTTAAAATTGGGTATTTCTAAACTCAGGACAAAATTTTGAAACTACTTAGCGCAAGTGTTTTTTGGCGTTTGTAGATACGGAACTGATTTTGTTTTTGTTTTTACATTTTTTCATCATATATTATAATTTTTTTTTATAGTAAATTATATGATGAAAATAATGGTATCTTTAGAAATACCATTTAATGTCGAGAACAACGGTAAAGAATATGTGTGGGTACAGTAAATAAGTAAGAGGAAAATTACAGCTAAACATAAGCCCAGCAGAAATGTAAAAACAGCCCTGGTTTGGACCTGTGCTCTAAAATCAAGAGTGATGCCTGGTGCTTATCTGGCAAATTATAAAATCAATAAGATGGCATTCTATGACTTAAAAAAAAACAAAAACAAAAAAAAACTACCTTTAACACGGACATTTTGATAGAATTTGTATTTAATCAGGGCCTGAAAACTGAAATAGTTGCTTGCCACTGCAAGCCATAGTACACTCTCCTGGGGTGAATTTCTCCTAGCCATTGGCAAGTGGAAATTTTGAACCATGCATATGTGTATTTAATATTTTTTATTGTATGGTTACATTTTAAAGCCTGGTTTGGCGCACACAGAGTCTTTTGTGAATAAATAAATAAAAAAGGTGAAGCCAGGTTTGCTAATTTTAGTATAATGGAGTAATGTATTACACAAATCTAAACAACAATTGTAAGCATAGATTACAATAATGGCATTTAATTTTTATAAAAGGTTATATAATCTTTTTTTTTTTTTTTTATTGCAAAGGTACTTAGTGTAAAATTTTACAGTGTTAAAGTATGATGGTATAAAGTAGTAAAAATAAAATACTATTTTGAAGAAAATGATGCAGATCAAAGGCACTAAACAGTGTACTAATGGCAGCTATAATAACAAATGAGAAAAATTATTGGACGGCTTGATCCAACGTGAATTAAAACGGTCATTGCTCCACCTGGTGGTATTTTGTGGTATGCACTATCTTCATAGCCACTCATTCACTGCATGCATAATTTCAGGAAGACGCCTGCTTTGGATTATCCTCACATTGAGGTTGTACGTAACAAGGAAGAACGACGAAAAATGCTTGGACATACATGCAAGGAGTGTGAAATAGTAAGTACATATGCCATTATTAAAGAATTGATACGGTTTATAAAGCATTCATATGTCTTGTGTGCTTGTCATATTGGTCAACATCTTTGTTTTAAAAAAAAAAAAAAAATGACACTAACGGAATTCTGCTTTCACTGATGTATGGATAAGAACATAAATGTCCAAATGACCCAAGGTCAAGAGTACACAGAAGGATCTCTTAATGAATAAAATGATCATAAATAATGTATACCTTCATTGGAAACAAAGAACTAGTAGGTACCTACTCTCCCCTCATCCAACTGTCAAGCGACTGAGTTGGTATTTTATGTTTGTTTATTTATTTTTGTTGATTTTTTTTTTTTAGTTCTTTGTTTCCAATAAAGGTATACATTGTTTATGATAATGTTATTCATTAAGGGTTCCTTCTGTGTCCTCTTGACTTTAGGACATTTGGACATTTTTGTACTTATCCATGTGTAATTAAAGGGTTAACCCCTAATTTCGGATCCCTATACACACCATATAAGTCTCTATTAGGGATTTTTTTTTGTCTGTCTAGTTTCACTGATGTAGTATGATTTAAAATACACATCTACAAAACTTAGATGCACAAAAGGATAACTGTCATCACTTTTTATTATTTAAAATGAACGAGCACATGTATTAAAAGTCCTGTGTCTATATTATGTAATGAATACATACAAGTAAACTCTTAATTTATTTTATTTCATTTCCAAGCTGAGCCTTGTCCCGTGGGGCAGTCACGTGTAAGGGACAATGCCCAATGGCTACAGAAAACTTGATATTTATTTATAGACAGGAGGCTCATATCATGCCTTTAACTTTCTTTACTACTCACAGCATCAAAAGTGTTAATAACAAGATCGGTACAAGCAAAGAAAAAAAAATACCACAACCAAACATGTACAGGCAAGCTCCTTGAGCAAAAAAAAAAAAAAGGGATCGATGAAACTTTGAATCCAACTTATAACTCAAAATAGAATAAGGGTGTTCTTTTAAACTGTGAAGAGAGAATCAATAGGGTGAATTAATACCCGCCTCCTGTCTTTAATAAAACTCATATTTTCTGTCGCCTATAGCACTACCTTAGATTAGTGGTTGAGCTGCAAAGGGTGCCATCTTTGTTTCTTATTTGTTTTTTGGCAAACAATTTGTATATTGGTTATGCTTAGACTGCACCTTTTAATGAAATGAATGAGAGACAACTAGAAATATTAATGACTGCTTTATTTTCTGTAATTCCAGTATTATGCTGATCTACCAGAAGAAGAGAGAGCAAAGAAGCTGGCTTCCTGCTCCAGACACCGCTTCCGCTACATCCCACCCAGCACCCCAGAGAATTTTTGGGAAGTGGGTTTTCCACCCACTCAAATATGCAAAGATAGAGGTAAGTAACAATACATAATGCACCAATTCCTTCATAGCAATCAACTATTTAAAGGAACGTTCCATTAAAATTTGTTGTAGGTTTTTAAACAATTCCGTAAATATACCCCAAAGAAAACATGCATGTTTTATTCCAAGGCTTATGAAAAAAAACAGCTTACAAAATTTGCAGGCTTGCCGTCTGCAGCCTTTGGAAGCCATTCACTCCTTCCCGAGCACAGACTGTGCCAGGGAATACACCAATCTAATCTCAATGAGAAGTCTCTGTACTGGAGCCGCAAGCCCACGCCATCAGGCTAGCCCAGCATCTGCCGCTTCTGTAAGCTCTTTGGTGCTAACAGAACAAACATTTCCAGGCTGGCTATCTGACTGCTAGGAAAGTGCTACTGCCCTAATTATAAAAGTTGTATAAAGTCTTACAAATATGACAGACTCCAGACTTATAAAGCACTTCAACAAGCTGTTCCTTTAATGATCCAATTTTAAAAAGTAACTACCCACACAAGTAGTGACAGCATGGCTGGTTAGCGTTGGCATTGCTAAGTATTATAGTCCGTGTTGGAATAGTGTCTGCACAGATGAGATTGTGATGATGCCATAAAATATGTCTTGCTATTCTTGGTCACGTGGCAAATGGATGTTCTAAAGCAATTATACTATTTTGTTATAAAGACGTGACAATTTTTTTGTAAACTCACTGGAACACTACTAAATGATGCCTACTAAAACTAGTTATTTAACCACTGTATAATACTTTCCGGAATGTGAATATATATGTTGTGTTTGTATGTGGATACTTTATATAAATCCTTTGGGGTTTTTTTTTTGTCTTTGTTTTATCATTTGTTATTTTTATCCTACAGGTTACATTAAGGAAGAACTTTCTCCCTGCCAGCGTCCACGCAGAAGACAACCTTACAATGCACTATTCACTACCAAAGGGAAGGAACAGAAGATATAAAGTTTCATAGCTTTTGGCATCATTTTTGTCTTTTTTTTTTTTTTTTTATGAGAACTAGTTTGCACCCAAAATGGAGTGAAATTTCTTTGTACAATCAGACTGGTCTGTATTTAAACTTGCAGTAAGCTTCTGCAGGCATAGTGCTGCAGTAGACACAGTGCATAGTTTATGATTTTACGAGTGTTTCTCTGGCCTTGGGTGCAACTTTTAAACATTTAATAATCAAAACCACAGTAGACTTTTAGCTGTACAACGGGATAATAAGTAAATATATGTGTGATTGTTGTCAGCCTCCCTAAATATAACGCTAAAAACATTTGTTGAAATGCTCTGGAGGGTATAATGTCATCCTCTAACTGTGCTCATTAAATCTGCTAGCAAATATATTGATAAGGGTGTATTAAATGCCGAGCCCTGCACTTTATATAACATGTATTGGAGTGTAGGCTCCCACTGCTGTATGCATTCTTATTAATGACAGGGCACAGAGGCTTGACTACCACAATGTATAGACCAGAAAGCAAACTCAATAATTATATCATCATAATTTATGCATTTGCCTACACTAAATATACATTACATTTTTTTACTTGCATGAAAGGCGCCTTGTCACCAACAGATTTTGTGGATCCCCAAACAGCTTTTGCGGTCTTGCTGTGACACATGGTTCTCTTTGTGGTGTTAAGCAGGAATGCTGGTCATCCTCAAGCAACTAAGACTTTCTGAGGATAATCTTAATTGTATAACAAGTAGAGGGTTTCGGTAGAGAGTAGTGGTAAAACAATTATTCAAATACCTGATTTAAAAAACTGCAGCAATAATAGTTTAAAATAGGTTGAACATTAATACCCCATCTCATGTACTGTATGCTCAGTCTCCTCAAATATTTAATGCTACATAATCAGTGCTACAATCAGTAGAAAATCCCAGTTTAAAGTATTGTAAAGCTGTGTATATGGTTCGTATAGATTATACAGTACCTGGTAAAAGCTAGCTTTGTCCACTGTGCTACTGCACATACCACTGTGCTCTTTTAAAACGGAGAAATAGTTGTATATTTTTCCCATTTCTGCGTGAAAAGCAGACTATTGTAAAGTTTTAATATTTGTCTTGTGTCACTGCACCCAAAGCATATTTCTGGCCTTGTATCATGGGAGTCAGCCAGCATTTAACTGGGAATGGACTATCTGAGTATGGTGGGAGTTGTAGCAGGTTGAGGTATGTGAAACTGCCTTTGGTATATGCAAATGTTTACCACGTGGTCATAAAGCGGCCATATGATATAAACCCAGTTTCAATATGCAGGTCTTTGTCCTGTATTCCATCTGGTTACAAGGTGGAGGTTTTAAAGAAATCTGTTTGCCTTTGTCCATTTAAAATATTATTTCAGAAATGTTCATCTCTATATGTAAAATCTTATTGTTTTGCATTAGCACCCTGTTAATGTGCTGGATGCTTTGTTTTGCACTGAATAACTTTAAAATATAAAATTGTGTTTCAGTTTATAGTTGTAATACCTAGAATTGTTATAATAAAAATAGAGAATTCAAAGGTGTTATTTTATTTGTAATTTAACATTGACACAAGGAAAAACTGACCTATACTCCTTGGTTAAAATGCTTTAGCCTTTGTAAAAATGTGGCTATCATAAAAGTCCACCATGGTAACCTGGGATAAAATACAAAATCTGTCCACTATATTTACTATTTCACACATCTGAGCCAAAAAAGGATATCTTATGCCAGGGCTGAAAATGTCCACTCTCACAATTGAATTTTTTTTTTTAATTATACTTTCATCAATACCTTATTGACCTTTGCAACTGCAGACTTGTTTATCATATTGCTGTCTAGTCTGTTGTCTATAGTTATTCCCAAGTCCTACTTTACAGAAAAATAAGTCAAATAGATTCCCCCTCTTAGTCTGATGTAAAATCACCTAATAGTTTTAGGATTTCGCTGCTTATTTGGAAGCCATAGAACAAATTATGTTTTTAAATTAAACCTTTTGATAAATATCCGCCACAGACTCAGCATACCAAATAGTGGCGCTTAAATCGGATCATTATTTTGATTACAGTGATCTAAAAAGTGACGGCTTTCTTAGTAGCAAATTCTGATTTCATAAGAGCACCAAATTTATAGTGGTGGAAAAAGTGTGTTAGTTTTATGACTGAAAAAGCAGTATAATTATTCATAAATGTGTTGCATTGGCTAAAAAAAAAAGTAAAAAATGACTTGTGCAAAAAAGCACCAAAAATCTGACAGATTTCATAAATTGCACCAAAAATTCACAAAAAAGACTGAAAAGTGTCAGTAACTTATAAAGCTTCAACTTTAATAGAAGTCACAGAATCTAAAACTGTTACACCAAAGTATTTTAGTAGAAGGTGGACCCATCAACCTCTGTATATGGGATATTTTCTCCTGATGTGTTTTTGTCTTCTTTTGTGAATTCATCCAAACAAAAAATAGACCCTTAAGGGATATATAATTAAGCATTTTGACATTTAATTTAGCCATTTCATCACCAGCCCAGCCAAAACTGTTGTTTTCAAGCAGCGGGGCCCAAAAGGTAGATCCCCAGATCTTATAGAACTACAACTCCCTTGATGCTTTGCATACCTTTTGGAATGCTTTTAGAATAACAAAAGCATCATGGAAGCTGTAGTTTTAAAACATCTGGGGATCGACCTTTTGGACAACCCTGTTTTTAAAGTTGTTGATTTTTTTAAATTTTTTTTTCACACAAATTACATTTTCAGTGGTTGGTTTCACAGACCATTTGTCTCCTACAATTGTAAAGATTTGTATCCTGCTACTTGGTTACTAAAAGAGACGTGTCTCTCCCATCTGTTCTTTTGCTGTTGATCCAAAAAAAGGCAAAAAAAAAATGTTTGAAGCACTTCCAATTTTGTAACTCTACCTCTAGTGGACCCCAGAATGGCAGTCAGATTTATCCTTGGATCATAAAGCTATTACCCCACAATTTAAAAAGTATATCCTTGAAAATTATGTTTTTGCAAGTATGCATCTAGTTGCTGTTTAAAGATCTGTATAGACTCTGATAAAATCACTTCTTCCGGCAGGGAATTCCACGTTTTTTTGTTCTTAATGTAAAAATAAACAAAAAACACCTTTCCTTTGCCTTAGACTAAATCTAATTTCTTCCTGTCTACTATTATCTGGTACAGCTATAACCCCACGTAGATAAACAAGGGTTTATGTCACAAACAAATGGAACAAAAAAGGATCCCTCAAATGTACTTTACATCCATCTTTACATACCATTTCCAAAAGAAGATGACTTGGGCTATTCAATATTTTTTTTTTATTTTTTTTTTTAAAGTCTTTTCACCAGGTCATTTTATCACCAATTTCTGATAAATTTTATGTTTTTCCACTGACATATTAAATTTGAATTGTGCACATCCATTTAATAAATTTTACAAATCATTCAATACTGTTAAATATACTGTCCTAATTATCTACAAAATTACTATATATTTTAATGGTAACTATTGTAGATTAATAGAAGAGGAGGTTTTGCGCACACGGTGGATAAATAGTAGTAAAATCTGAAATATATAAAAAAAACTATCATAGGGCAATATGCATATAACCAATATATAATATAGAGGTAACTTGGAGTAATGGCATGTAGAATACTCCAGAATTTATCTTTTATTAAAATAAAGATTTTATTTGTACTTTTATTTTGGTTCCTGATTTTATCCAGACGAAATGTGACTTCTGCTCCTGGGGGACCATCATAACTACAGCATCAATTCTGGAGTATTCTACATGCCATTACAGTAGAGAGCCGACTTATATGGCTCTCTAGATTGTGAGTGCTCCAAGTTACCTCTATATTATATATTGGTTATATGCATATTGCCCTATGATTTTTATATATTTCAGATTTTACTACTATTTATCCACTGTTTGCGCAAAACCTCCTCCTCTTTTATCCAACTGTATATATGTAAGTGTTTTTAGGGTGATTAAAATACTGGTTTGGTTTTAGACGCACTGGGATATACTTTTATATTTCTTTATTTATATACTGTTTAGCACCACTTACCCATTTTTTGTTTATTATAGATTAATCATTTGAAAAGTTTTTCTAATGGTATTGGATCACTTGGCAAGCTTATTAAATTAAGGCCCTTGTTCATTCGTTCTAGTTATAAGATCCCATGTTGGTATTCTGCGTTTGTCTTGAGTACAGCAATATCTCACCTTGGTTGCCAGGTTTTTGAGGGACTTGACACTCCTCATTGCTTACTTCCCAGAGATGCTATTTAGTAAAGTGAAAATATTTGTGTTTCCATTCCGTCTAGCATCAGAGTTTGACGCTATTTCTAAGCTTCCAATCGCTGAGTAGGGGTGCCGCAGAATGGCTAGAGCAGTCAGCTGATGCTAATAAGCCAATCAGCTACTGATTGACTTTGAGGGTCAGCAGACCTCTTAAGCCAGTATTTGACTAAATATGGCAATCCTGCATATGGAAGGACTCAAAATCAGGGAGGTGTTTAGTAGATGGCTCCCTAATTTACTACCATTATGTAGGATTAACTTATTTAAGGGTACAAAGTTAGGGAGCTATCTACTAAATACAGCGACTTAATTTAGTAGTGGTACTCTTAAATAGGGTAATCCCACACATGAGTACCAATTTAATAGAATGAACTAATGAATAAATCACCCATGGAAAAATTTAGTTCATCACACCCTTAGTGACTACTTCCATTGCATCATTTGGAAAAATGTTATTTAAACTAATTATACAAAGTAAATGAATGTAGTGCTTTTTCTTAAAATAAAACAGATAAATCACCTTATAAAATGATTATATGAAGGTTGTCTCAATGGATATACCAAGTGGATATCTTGTGCAATTGTGTAGTACCACAAATTTCTAGCAGTTTACACTCACAAACGAGGAGCTGTGAGTTTGTGAGTGTAAACTGCTAGAAATTTGTTCTTATATTTAATATTGTGTGACCTACACTATGTTGAATTGTTCTCTACAGATATTCATTTGATGTACCTGGTACTACACAATTGCACAAGATATCCATTGAGACAACCTTCATATAATCATTTTATAAGGTGATTTATCTGTTTTATTTTAAGAAAAAGCGCTACATTCATTTACTTTGAATCATTTTCTATGTGTGACAGTCGGAAGGAGTCATTTGGAATGTTTTAGCAGCTACTTTGAATTTATTTATCAGATGGTTTACTATTGATTGAGTTTATAAGCGCTGGTTTCTTTACATTTTTTGATTTAAACAAATTAAACAATTTTGTTCCAAATAGCAATTATTTTGAAAAATGCCCAAATTGAGTCTATACAATGTTGGAAAGGGCCTATGCAAAATCTACATAGACTGTGTCCAGAACGGTTTAGTTTCCTAAAGGGGTAATGTGGGAAACACGGGCAACTCTTCATTACTTACTACCCCACAATTCCACTCCACCACTTTCTAAGATGTTACATTTATTCATAGCAACTACATGATTTAAAATCTTACTTTAACTTGTTTGTCATAGATTTATTTTTAGATCACTATTGTAAAACCAAGAGAAATACAGAAAAAAACGTACATTGCCTGCCGTTTATTACTTGTCTTGATGTTTTTAGGTTATTGTCTAAGAACGACTGTTATCCTTTGTATGTCCATCATGAGCTGCAGAATTTTCATGCAGCCACATTCTATGGCATCATAATATTTTAGTGACCTCACAGAGTTCTGAACAGTTTCATTTCTAAAAAAAAAAAAAATCTCCCAGCAGTGCATGAAAATGTTTACTGTTACACATATTCTCGATCCATAAACATCTGTAATAAAATCAAGGTCTTTCTGAAAACCACCCCAAGTAAAGGATACCTTGTTCAAAATACGTTGGGTCCTACCATTCCTGTAGAGTTGGAGATCTGACAGTCGCCAGAGGTACAGGGAAGGGGACAAGGAGGTTTAAAGGATCACTATAGGGTCAGGAACACAAACATGTATTCCTGACCCTACAGTGTTAAAACCACAATCTAGCCCCCATGGGCCACTCATGCCTCCCTAAAATAGCAAAATCTTACTGTATTCAAGCCTGAAGCTGTAGCTCTGCAGGCTGTTTGACTCAGAATAATCAAAACCTGTCTGCTGACATCATCAGACGTGGTGGCCTGATCCAATCACAATGCATCCCCATAGGATTGGCTGAGGCAGATCAGGGGCAGAGCCAGCATGATTCAAACACAGCCCTGGCCAATCAGCATCTCCTCATAGAGATTAATTGAATCAATGTATCTCTATGAGGAAAGTTCAGTGTCTGCATGCAGTGGGAGAAGATACTGAATGTTTTGGATGCATTTTACGCAGCCATGACCCAGGAAGGATCTCTAACCGCCATCTAAGGAGTGGCCAGTGAAGCTATCATTAGGCTGTAATGTAAACACTGCATTTTCTCTGAAAAGACCGTGTTTATAGCAAAAAGCTTGAAGGTAATGACTCCACTCAC